AATCTACGCCAATGTTCCTACCCGGTGACCTTCGAATCGGAGTCTGACCGTTTTTGCGTCCCATACTTTTGGTCCCTGAACGGTGTAAGCTAGTGTATAGTGTATAGGAGGGATTCAGTCTCTTCATCTCGTCTCTTCTCAGGGTTTACTTGTATTACTCTATACGCACACATACATTATAAAGTCAAGCTGTTAGTTGTTGGTATGGTCTCGCTTCGCGGTTCGAATCGTTCTCCTAAGTTAACCAACCCGCCGATACGACCAACGGACTAACTTAAGAACCCAAGAGGAAGAAATAAAAATACTTACATTGATTCATATGATTTTATATATATACACACATACTTAACAGCTCGTTAATATATTTGCTTAATTTCCGTCATTCATTTACTTTTAATTTTTTTAATTTACTGCTTCATTCAGGTGCTTTAATTACTTCTTCTTTGATTGATCAATTTTGTCGTAGTTTTATAATTCATCAAATTTTATTTATTTCTTCTTTTAATGTAAATTAGTAATTAATGATTATAAATAAATATTGAATTCTTGATAATAATTTTTTATTATTTTGATAAACTTTCATTCATTACTTGCTTTACTCATAATTTCTTCTTTTGTTTGATTTTTAGTAGTATTTTTATCAAACATTTTTTATAAGCTTGATAATATTTTTTTTTTTTATAATATCATCCTTCAAAATTAATTGATATTATATAAATTACTTGATAAGTTTTTATTATTTATTTTTTGTTTGCAAATTATTTCTTCTTAGAATTTAGATTAAGAAATTTTGCATTATTAATTCTATAATTATTTTTTATTTTTTATTAAATTATTCATTCTTAGTAACTATAATTTAATATTCTAGTTTTGACTTGGTAAACTTTCATAAATTATTTCTTCTTAGATTTTGGTCTTGAAAAATATTCGATTTTTATTACCGAACTGACAAAATTTAATTTCTTCCTTTAATAACTTATGAGTCATTGGTTTTTTTATAATTTATTCATACTGAACAATTATTAATGAGTTTTTTTACAAAGGCTTGATTAACTGTTTATAAAGAATAAAATTTTTTGACATATGGGCAAGAATCACATTTATGCAAAATATGATAGATGAATCATCCCAGTAGTGATAATAATAATAATAATAATAATAATAATAATAATTATATAAATAATAATAGTAATAATAATAATAAAAATGCATAATGATAAAACTAACAACAACAATAATAATAATAATAATAAATTGTAAACGTCCTTGATAACCAAATTGAATCCCAAACCGTCTAGACTTTCGTCTGGCGTCTACTGTTATACCTAGGTAAACTTATAAGATCGTGATACTCGGGAGACAAGAGATTTAAATACATAAAATGCATTCGAGAAAGTTTTTAACCGTTAATACTAAGAACAAAGAACAGAACTATAAAATAACAATAAGTATAATTATCGAATGATTAATAGCCATAATTGTCCACACGAAAAATTTCTTATTTCGTTATATTAATTATTAAATAATTAAATAATTAAATAATTAAATAATTAAATAAACAATATCAACAGACTAGCAATAGGATTATTTTTATTTAAATAAATAAGTACATAAATGATGATGATGATTAAAAATAAAACAATAAGTAATTAACGAGTGTTGATTTGATAGTTAATTGTTTATTAATTACCGGTGATAGTTTAAGATTTTGTTGTATTCGTTACACTGTAGGTACAGAATAAAATATAATTAAATAAAATAATTATAATAAAATTAAACACAATAATAATTATAATAAAATGAGATTTAAATTTAAATAATAAATAAAATAATTATAATGAAATAAAGTGATTTAAAGAATACCGTAATATCCATAGTTGACGCAAAACAGCGACAGTACATATATTAAATGAAGTCTGTAATTGAAATGTTTTATATTTTTACACCGAACAAACAGTATAATTAACGTACAATAAACAATAAACAATGTCCTTCCAAGTGCAACCTCAAATAATAGCAGATGTTATTTATTATTAATAAAAAAAAATAATAATTAAATAACAATTACAATAACAAATACAAATACAAATAAATTAAACAATTTATTATTTTTAAATAAAGTAAATAACCACTTTCACTTCCGAAATATATTCACTGGATTATACGGTATACTTATTAAAAATTTTTTTTTTTTAATTTATTATTATCTAAAACAAAAATGAAAAATGAAAATTATATTGAGCTATTAATAAAATTGATTTATTCTCAGAATAATTAACTGGATTAAAATTAAAAATTTCATTGGCAAAATTATTAAAAATTACCAAATTGTAATTAATTATAATAATTAAAATACAGAAATAGAACAAATAAAATATATCTCGTATATATATATATTAAAAATAAAATAAAAAAAAAATATATATATATATATATATATATATATTATAAATAATTCAAAATAAATAAAATAATAGTAATAAATAATATATGTTTATAATTGGATAATGAATACGTAAATTTTTTATACCATTAATTGAAAAAAAACTATCTTATCAATGTTTAAAAACATTATTATTATAATTAAAAAGTAAATTATAATTATAACAATAACTATTAACAGATAAAATATTATTATTAATGATAATAATAATAATAATGATAAAGATAAAGATTAAAAATAAAGTAAAGTAATAGTGTAACGATTGTTGTCGTTTATTTGTCCATTTAAAACAGTGGCAATATTAATAAGCGCAATAAACGTGTACCGATTCATCGAATCTCCATTATACATAACATCATCATTCTCTAATCAATACTATTATTATAATTATTAATAACTATTAATAGATATTATTATTAAGTATCGAATCAAAAATTATTAATTAAATTATTTTAATTAATTAATTAATTAAAAATTATGTAGATATTCAAATATTAATGTAATTTAATTAGGATATAATATTAGTTTATTAATAAATAATAATAATAATAATAATAATTGATAATATGTATTAGGCAAGTGATATTTGTACGTAATTGCCGGGGTAATTTTTTCAATATTTAAATTTAAATATTAACTAATAAATTTTTATCAATATTATTATTATTATTATTATTATAATAATTTTTATTATTATTACTATTATGATTATGCCATTATTATGTTTTAAACTGTAACGTTTTATTCTGCCTGACGCTCTGATATGGTGATGATAATTATTATGATTATCGATTTAATCAATAATGGGCAGTTTATAAAAAACAATCGATGTCAAATATAATAACAATAAACAATAATTAATTAACAATTATTATTCTTAACGGTAATGATGAAAATTTAATCATTATCTAATCATCAATTGTCAAATTCTTGATATTTGTATAAAAAGAAGAAAGAGTAAATTAATCTAATAATTATTCTTATTATTATTATTATTATTATTATTATTAATAATTCGCGCAAATTGCTATTGTAAGCTTACTTTGACATCGATTGTTACCTATATGTATATGTACATATATGTAGATCAAAACGATATATATCGCTGTACATAAAAAAAAAAAAAGAATAAGAAACTAAATAAGAAAAAAAAGTTTTTATGCCGTAAATTATCAGTCCATACAAAATAATTTTTTTTACTATAAATCTCCCTTTTTTTTTATGCAAAAATCAAAAATAATTTTTTTGAAAGTTTTTTATGGTTTAATTTTTAATTGAATAAACTTAATTTTAATTAATTTATTATATATTAGTGATAAATGGTTTTATATATTGAGATATGAATAACGATTGTATAGAGTGATTTAGATGACAGTGAGCTATCATTTGAAATATTTTTTTTATCTCTTCGCATTAATAATTGCGTGGTATTGATACTTGGAATTTTCGAGTGTTGTGAGTGAGATTAAAATTGACGTCGCGTCGATTTGTGGTCATCGCGCACACACATTACACATTTTAGAGTTTTTTTGCTCATTTTAAGTTCCCCTTTTCCATCCTCTTTCTTCTCTTCCTCAGTGTTATCCTCGGGCTTCTTCTTTGTCTCCTTTACGTTCACACTCTCATTTATTCTCTCAATAAATTTTATCTCAAACTCGTAAAACTATCTTTAAACTTTAAATTTTATTGACGATTAAATGTTTAATAAATATATATTTATATGCTCCATAATTTAAGTATCGTGATTTAGTTTTACAATTACATCGTTAATTCATTGATTAAATAATTAATTATTATCAATATTTACATTGTTCAACTAATGTTATCTAGAATACCTTTAAGTTAAAATTAAGATGTTTTTTACATTAAAAAGAAAAATTTAAATCATTTTTATTTTGTTTATTTATTTATTATTTCAACATACATAAATATAATTAATTAACATATTTGTAAATAAATAACTATCACAAATTTATAAACAAAAATTTGTGGTCAATAAATAAAATTTTACAGGTAAGAATAAACTTAATTAAAATTTTTATTATATTCACAAAAAAAAAAAAAAAATAGTGTGTAGAAATAAAAATTTACAATATTTATTTTATAAATTTCAAAAATAAAACAATAATTAATTTATAATTTATAAATATTAACGGAATAACAATAAATAGTAAAGTAATTCCAACAGTCCGTTGTGAAAAATTCGACATAAAATACACCGGTTGTTTCGTATATATATTTACGTTGCTTTATAAATCATCATAGCGTAGTTTCTCGACCTGCGACATATTTATATACACAAATGAAATATTTTATTTAGTAAATTACTTTAAAAATTTAATTTATAATTTATCGTGCAGACAATTACTAAACATCAATCTCATAATTTTTTTAGTGAAAGAAGAAAAAAAAAATAAAAGAAAATTTCGTGTAGAAAATAAAAGCAAACAATCAGACGGCAAGTGAAAATGAAATTGAAAAAATAAATTTTCATTAACAGAAACAGCGAGAAAAAAAGAAAAATTTAATATATACACCCATAAACATAAATATAAATTCACAGTGCAGCTATTATTGCTATTAACAGTGTTAGACACAGAGACCACAAGGCAATAGAGTACGTCGAGAAGCAGTTAGTATAAAAGCAAACATTAATTATTGGTTGGATAAATGCCTCGGCTAAAATGCCGGAATTTCCAGTATTCTCACCTTTGCAAGTTTTTTCGGTGTCATCTTTTTGGCCAGCATGAACCTCCAGCTCACTGGGATTAGAATCCGCCGTCTCTGGTTGTTTCAATGCGGGCTCTTTTTTATCATCACTAGCTGCAGCAACGTCAACTCCTTCATCTATATTGGTATGGCTATCAGAACTAATCAGATTCTTAAAATCATTATCAAAATTATTATCATCATTGAGCTTGGTAGAATCACATGATAAATAAGGCACTTGTTTATCCAGATGAAATTCTTCAGCGTTTGGTTGTTTATCATCATCACAATCAACATCATTATTACAGGCATGATAATCAACATGACTGTTATCATAATCATCGAGGCTTATATTATCTTGAGCGTCGTTTGATGGCACTAACTTAACAACCGACTCCAGTGACTCTTTGTTTGAATTATACGACTCACAAGAAGCTTCTGTATCGATCACTTTTGTCCCCGTTTCATCGTCAATGTTTAATTTTAACAGTTGATCGGGTTCTTTATACTCGGACTTTGTATCATCCTTTATCTCCTTTATCGTTTTTTCTAGTTCTTCTTTATCCATCCTAATTTTCTCCTTCACTTCGTTTCCTTTTCCTTCACCTTTGGCTTTACCGTCTTCTTCATCTTCAATCACCTTTTTGTTAATCTTAAGGCTTTCATCCTCCCCCAAAAGCTCTTCCCACTCGATGAATTCGGAAAGAGAATTTCTGTTTGACCCCAAAAGCATCGCATTGCTCTTTGCTTCCTCCACGCTCTTTTTAACCTTCTCCGATGTTTTTTTGATAAGACTCTCTAAATTACGACAAAGTTGCTTGTACTCTGATAATTCTTGATCACTCGACGGTTCAATTACTTTTTCATTTGTATCAACAACCTCACCACCACCACCACCATCCCCCTCATCAACATCTACGTCAAAACTTCCACCACCATAGTACGGAGATGACAAAGTCCTAGATTTTTTATCAAACGTTTGACAATTTTCCATTTCCATAAATTCTCTCTCACATGATTTCCTTCTTAAAACTTTACCGTCTTCTTCGTGGGGCACACAGACTTGAATTTTAGCCTGATACAAACTCTTAGGCCGATTTCCATTTATGTCCAAGTCCGAATTTTTATCCTTACCATAAAAATGATCATCATCATTATTATTATTATTATTATTATTATTATTATAATTTCCAATTGATATATCTCCAACACTGTTGGAACTAATCAAAGCCCCATCTTGTGGGAACAATTTCGAAGAATTAACCTTAGTAAATTCCTTGTACCAGGCATCATGATCATCATTGCTTTTGTCAATAATTCCATACAAATCCGCAGAAAGTGACCGTACAGCTCGTTTCTTCTTTAAGTCACAGTTACCAGCAAGAATACTTCTACTCATAGACTCTCTGGTCGGCACAAAGCTTATGTTGTTCATAGAATTAGCAAATTTATTTTTACCGTTGGTATCTTTACGCAGATTACGAAACGCTAAATCATCAGTAACAATATCCGGTTCATTTTTTGGTATATATAGTGATGAGCGAGTGTGTTTAATTTTCGGCTCAACATGCAAATAATCACTTTCAGCAGCTGCTGTAACTGGTCCAAGTGGTATACCAAATGGTGGCTGTGGTTCAATAACTCTCAAAGTGTTATTTGCATGGGTTATATTCCGATAAACAACGTCATCAAGCGTTAAATCCGGTGTACCACGTCGTTGGTTCTTTGGTTTTTCATTATTACAACTAACATTAACATAGTTACCTAGCAAATAATTATTATCAATTTGATATTCACGATCCTTATATGAGAGTAAGCTTGGTGAGGCAGCCAAATAACTGACTCTTGACAATGAACTTTGACTGGGATCCACCGAAGCCGAGCGTTCCGGTTGATGCATTCGTCTATAAGCCATATCGTCTTTAAGTCTCGGTTCATCATCGTTATTATTATTATTATTATTATTATTATTATTATTATTATTATTATTATGACTATGACTGTTATTATGATTATGATTATTACTGTAGTTGTCGTGACGATCGAAATTCACATTACGCCATAAATTTAACTCGTAGGACGACGCTGCGGACGGAGACGGGGACGGCGAAGACGACGACGACGTGTCCAATGAACTTTTTATTGATCCACCTATACCTGCTTTAGCTGCCGCCGTAATGGCAATTTTATCCCTATATTCTTCCATACTGCGCTGCTCCGCACGATCCAGCAGATCCTCGTCTTCATTTAAATGTAAACTATTGTAAATGGTCTCTAATTCAATTAGCGCTTCTTCTAAATTTTTCGAGTGTCTTCGTTTTTCCAACGGCTGCTCGTAAATACTTTTATACCCTTTCATTTTCGGCACGATTTTCTTCTTTATTTTAGGCACTATCGGATCCTCGGGCATTTTGTCCTCGACTTCGTGACTCTTCTTGCTAAAAGTATTATTATTATTATTATTATTATTATTATTAATGCTACTACTATTATTATTTTTGTACAACAAAAAAGGCTCGCTTATCGGGTGCCTCACAACCCGGCGATTGCAGCAGCGATGTCTGCGTTTGGGTGTCGCATAAATACGATCCAGCGAATTATAGTTAACATTACTCCCACAGGGTAGCAATTGCTGACTACAACTATGATTATGATTATGATGATTATTACTACAGCCACTGCAAGAATTAGTTTCAGTAAAAATATCTAAATCCAAGTGGTGAGAGTGTCTAGCACTAGCAACTGGGTGTAAACGGGACACAGAAGTCGATCGCGGTGGCGGTTGTGGTGCTAATACAGATGCAGATGCCGGTGATACTGACGATGATGCAGGTGCTGGCGGTGGAGGACTTTTGTTGTCTACATGACAATTAATCCCACGTGATTTATTATAGTTACTCGTTGCCGTTGTTAGTTTAGCTTCATGTGGTTGTGGCCAAGCGTACTCGTTGTTAAATACTTCATTGTCATTTAAACCGTGTAAATTGTCACTTTGATACTTAATGTTATCGTTATAATTATTTGGATACACGTGTAAGAGATTCTGTTCACTACAAAATGCTTGATAGTATGGCGGTTTTAATAATAAATTATTATTATTCGTTGTTGTCCATAAATTATTTGTTGACGGTAGTGTATCAGCCTTTTTTTTAACAATTCCATTATTACTATTATTATAATTATAATTATAATTATTACTATGACTTACAGGTAATACAGGTGATACATGATGATAAATTGGATGAATTCTTACATCAATATTACCATCATTATCATCAATGGTATCGTCACGATAAAATCGCTTCATATATCTTACAGTACGAGCTCCACGTGTTTTTTTATTAGCTTCAATTAATCTACGATGATAATTATTATTGTTATGATGCTGCTGATGATGATGATGATGATGATGATGATGATGATAAATACTATCTTCACTTTGGATTCTCATTAATGAATTATTAGGATTAGTAGCAGTAGCAGCAGCGGTTGCGGTGATATTTGCATTTCCATTAACAATTGAGTTTGTATTGATGTAACAATTGCTGTTACTATTATTACTAGATTTATAATGGCTGTGTTCATCATCGGTACTACTGTCACCGTAATAACGATCACGTTTGGCTTGTATGCGTGCCTTAAGACGATTTCTACGGCTGTATTTACTCCCGGTATCTGAACTTTCACTGTTACGTGACTGTATTGTTGCTGGTGGTGCTACCGCTGATGTTGAAGCATTTGATAAATTCATTGAATCTGTTGATTCCTGTTTCTTAGTAGCGTTACCAGTAGTTTGTTTGTTGTAATTATTATGAGATTTATCTCTATCTGCTTTGGACGGGGGGTTTGTCTGAACATTCTTAACTTGCTCACTGTAATAAATAGTTGGGTTCGGCGTTAAAGACAACAATGAGTTTGATTGCTCCGACGAGGCTGTTTGTTTTGATTTACGTTTGAGTAACCCAGCGAATGTCCATTTTTTTTCTTTTTTCTTTTCCGGTTGCGATTCGGTGGACGGTTTTTGCGGTGCTGCATTTTCTTCCGTTACTTTTACTTTAGCTCCTGTGTTTTTTCCTCTACATCGCCACTTTTCCATTGATAAATATTTATAACTGGTTTATTTCTGAAAATAAACAATAATATACGTTAAAAAAATAAATAGTTACATTTCTTCTCGTAATAAATTAAATTAAAATTTTTTTACTTCCTAAATATTTCACTTAACAATCTTATTTTTTTTTATCAGTTATTTTTACACTTTGATAATTTTTGTCATTTTTTTCTTATCTATTTTATCAGATTAATTATCAAAACATTGATTTATATCCTTTTATCACTAAACAGTTTAATTATTAAAAAAAAAAAAACTCATCTAATTTTTATAATAAAACTACCAAATAATTTTTTATTTAATTAATTATGGTCCTCTTAATAATATATACCATAAATATTTCAATAAAAGAAAAAAAAAAAACTACATAAATACGCTCTAGATTTATAAATATATATTTACTCCAAAAAGAAAAAATGATGAGTGACATTAATGACGGTATGAATCTAGAAAGATAAAAGTATCTAAAAATAAAAATTAAAATAATTACCTATAGAAATATATGTCAATAACTATGTAGTAATACACAGTGTCTATTTACGAGGAAATATAATATAACATAATATAATGTACAATATAACATAACATAATGTTAACGTATAATATATAATAATGTAGGTAAGACATATAAGTAAATATAACTTACAATATGTAATGATAAATTTAAAAACCCGTGGCCTTGAGTTCTCATTTATAGGTGTTGGTATGTATTGAAAGTGACCTCGAAACAAATAATTTTTTAACAATCCTCCGGGCTACGGATCTCCCATTTTAAATTTCCTCACTTTATTTTCGAGCGTTATATTATTCAAGTATGATACAGGTAGTGGAGTACAAACTCATCAAAAACTCATCCAATATACTTCTCGTTTAAAACCCGTCGCATATATACTGTTATATATATACCTTCCGCCAACCAAGTATATAAAAATAATCACAACCTAAATACAAAAAAAGAAAACAGTTGTAAGTATTATAAAACGATAAAAAAAGAAATAACAAATCCGAGAAATAAACTCGGAAATTGTAAATTAAATTATCATTCATATCGATTGACATGACTGAAATGCTTTGGAGTACAAATTTATAAATATAAATTTACTTGTACTTATAAATAAATTCATTGATGATTTACTTACTTATTGTTGTTAAGTGACGATTGTTGTTTTTTTATATATAATTGTTGAAATGACGTATTGAACACAAAAACATACTTTCTTATATTTATACCTGTACATATGTAAATATATAACCTAACTATACATATATAAATATTTTTGTTGGTAAAAATGTAGGTATAGAAACGTAACCTCTTTAGTTGGAGGACGGTAAGACACTGAGAACGGAGACCTGACGGCAAAATACTGAGAACTGGGGAAAAAAAAATGAGAATATAAACTCGAATGGAGTCAAGACGTGTTGAACCGAATGCTGGTGAAGAACTAACTAGAACTAACTACTGTGCGACCGTTGTCTCCTCACATGCAGTCTTATGTCTTTACGTCATATTATCAACACAACTCATGAGTTTTATTTTACTTGTATGCATACGTAGGAACAACAACCGAAGCACATTTTCTTAATATACTAGTTGTGGGTGGATTAAATTTGTAACACGATCACCATTTGATAATCCTACACGTATTTAGAAATTAATTTCTAGAAAGAAGAAATTTTTATTTCTCTCTAATACACATATATTTAATCTCATTGATTGGACTAATCTTGTATTTAAATTCATTTGTCCTCAATTTTAATTACAATCAGTATTTACGCTTTTTATTTATTAATTATATAATATTTTTTTTATTAGTACGTCCTTAAAATTATTTTTAATACACTTTTTTATAAATTTTTTGTTATTGCTTGTACAATTGATTATTTGTCAGAAAATTTATAAATATTTTTCAAATAAATAGATAATAGATGTCATATTTAATATATGTCTATAAAGCAATTTATATTTTTTAAAGCATTTTTTTTTAAATAAATTATTAGACTAGAAGATTATATATTAAAAATGATAAAAAATATTTTTTATGGAATAATAAAAAATTGTATACTGAAGGTACAATTAATACTGTTAACACTAAATGTGCAGTTATATATTAATATATAAGTTTTAAAAACTTATGAGTAAAAAAGCTAGTGACGGAGCTGCTTTATATAATTATTAATTGTTAATAATTATTATGTAATTTTTTCAGTTAGTAAAGTATCTGTTAAATAAGTTACTTTGAGTGTCTTTGTATAGTGGATTTTTTCAGACGGCAAATTGATAGGCCATGCGATTACTCTCACTCCTCGGCTCTTCCATTCTTCAATTATGTGCCTGTAACATAATTTATGTATTAATTATTATTTAATTTACAATTACTTTGTACATTCATTAGCTCGTTAAATGATTTAGTTTAAAGTGCTTGATTTATATCATTTAATTCTCAGCATTTAATGGATGTACTTATTTACTATCATTATTATTTTTTTTATACGTACGGACTAATTATATCTTTGTGCAATAATACACAAGAGATCCCGAGTATGAAATATGTAAAGCGCGTTAATGCCCACTCGTGTAAAATATCGAGTATAAAAATAAGTAAATTTTTGACAAAACTTTTTGTGCGTGTTAGACCATGTTCTCTTGAACTTTCTTCAGCAAGTCCCAAAAATACTTTTGGTTCGAATGCTAAACATGTCACAATTTTTGGATCGCGTCTTCTTAGCTGTAAATCAATAAATTTAATTTAGTAAATTGAAATTTTTTTATAAAAATACCTAAATAATTTTTTCGCTTAAATTAATTAAACTTAAAGGCTTACCATATAAATAGTAACAGGAAAACAACTTGTTATCCACGCCTTTTCATAAAGCTTTGGATATTTTTTATAGGCGTCCAGTATTATTTGAACAAAGTCTAAATTTGAATCTTTTACGTCAATAACAATATTAAGATCGTTGTTTAAACATTGTTCTATTGCTTCGTTGAATGATAATATTCTTTCACCACCTTTGAATGTTTCTCTGTAAATAAACCCACATTATTATTATTATTATTATTTTATTGATACATGTATTTGTTTTGTAGTACGACCCCTTGGCCGTTTATATAATGTTTACTTATTTAATGAATTAAAAATTGTTATCATTAACAATAAAATAAGAACAGTCCATATTGATACAGCTATTTATGAATTTTATCTTATAAAAATATGTAAATAATTTTTTACGTCAATATTGACAGATAATTGTAAATATTTATTCATATAATTTGTTTACTGACTCATTAATTGACTAAAGATTTTTTAATAATTATTCAGAGATTAAAAAGTATAAAATTAGACTAAAAGCTTTATATTATTTATTTTCAGTTTAAAATTATTGATATTTATATTAAAAAAATATATATATATATTTAGTTGTGTCAATTAAAAAATAATTATATTTAATTACCTGAGTGGATGATTACAACTAATATCTAAGTCTTTTAATTCATCCCAAGTCATGTCTTTAATAACACCAATTTTGCCGGTAAGTCTTTCAATGGTTTCATCATGAAATATGATAGGAATGTTGTCCTTTGTACGCCTTAGGTCAATTTCAACTGTATTACAGCCTTTAGCTTTACACTGAAAAAAATAAAAATTAATTATTCAATTGGATATCTAATTAATGCATTAATTAACCAAGAACAACAGGAAGTTAGTAATATTAATATAAAAAATTAAGTATTAAAATAAAATTACATTATTGAAAGCCGATAAACTATTTTCTGGATAATCGTATCCTCCACCTCGATGGCCAATTACTCTCATGCAAAATTCATTATTTGTTAATTTATCACCATTATTTATAGAATTATTATTATGATGATGATGATGATTATCTGACAGCAACGTCAATTTGTCATCGGTTGTTTTTAAATTACTAGGGTCCACACCCAATACTTTATTAACTATTTTTTTGTCAGGTGGTGGATTTCTTAATACCCACGATAAAATAACAATTATTAATGTGCCCCATAAAATCCATGGAATTGAAAAATAATAGAGTATACTGATTAAAATATACCAAAATGCTTGGAGATAGATCCATAAAGCTGCACTATCGAATAATGTTTTTAATATACCAGACATTTTTTCTTACATAAGTTTTAATTATTAATAATACTTTAGTATTTGATCAAAATTTTAAATTTACTATTAGTTATTTTAAATCATTAATTAATAATTTCATCTTTTGTTTACTATTAATTAACATTCAATTTACGTGTGAAATTTTTAATTACAATTCACAGTAGGTTACTTCAAGATTTTTTAAATTATCAACTTATTCAATGTTTTAGGCAGTAAATATTAATTTTAAAAATAATAAATAAATAAAATTTATAGAAAAATAATTTGAAAAGATAAATTATAACTTTTTTAATCACTAAAAACACTGGGGTAATTTCTTTGTTTGGTAAAGCTTACGTTTGTTACTAGGATACGTATCTAGGGAGAATTCAGGGAAATTTTTTATTACTGAAGTCAATGCTGAGCTGTCAAAGTTAAATTTAATTTATATAATAGGTTAATTCAAATGTTTTGTAAGATTTCAAAAATAATTAAAACATTTAATTCACTTATTCATAACATTTTTATAAAACAAATTAATTAAATAAATGTAATAATTAATAATAATTATTTTATATTTACACACAAGGACGAATGTTTTGAATTTGAAATGCCCTCAAGTGGTTATTTCTCACACTTCTCAACGCTCAACTTATCCGATTTTATCAACAGTGACTACAAATAGAAAAATGAATTGACAGATATAAAAACATCAACAATGTTATATTTTTTTATTGTTAATAATTAATAATATTCGTAAGTACAGTTATTAAATATTTATTTAAAATGAGTGACTTTTTAGCCGCTAACAATATTTGCGGCCAAAGTTTACTGCGACTTGTATCGCGAGGTAATGCCATAATTGCTGAATTGATGAGATTAAAAGATTATGTTCCGCCAGTATTTAGGTTTGTAATTATTTTCCATTGACAATTAAATATATTTTTTATTGAAATATTATTTTGTATTGTAGATTAGAATCTAAGCGTCACCTCCAAAAGTATGGATCAATTATTATGGACTTTGTTTACTTCAAAGCCGCCAATGTCAATGAGCAGAAAATTGAAAATGATAATGTAAGTTATTCAGTAATTTCTAAAAATTATAAAAGTGTAATAATTATTTTAAAATTTTTGATCCCAGACTCTTCAGGAACTTGACGAAAATTTAAGAGATAATTACACTGATGTATTAACAAGAATTTACTTAGCTTTTGAAAGTATCCACAAATATATTACTGATTTTAATGCTTACATAGATGAGCTAGATGATGGCCATTATATTCAGCAATCCGTCGAAACTGTGATGCTTAATGAAGAAGGAAGGCAGTTGATGGTTTGTCATTTAACTTTTTATAAATTTTAATAAAATAATCATATTTATTTTTATTTTAAACTTTTCAGTGTGAAGCAGTTTATTTATACGGAGTGATGTTGCTTCTGGTGGATCATCAGTTTGAAGGTCATGTACGTGAGAGACTTCTAGTGTCTTATTACCGATATAATGCTCAGAGATCATCATCAACTCGAGTAGATGACGTCTGTACTCTGTTAAGATCAACAGGATTTTCTAAATCATCAGCTAAACGTCCTCCAAACTATCCTGAAGATTATTTTGGGTATTTTATAGTTTATTTTTATATACATCACAATATTAAATAACTTTTTAGCTTAATACTGTTATGATATTTCAGGAGGGTGCCAATTAAATCAAAGTTCATAGACTTGCTGATTGGTCGTTTAAGATCAGACGAAATTTATAGTCAATCTTTAGCATTTCCCAATCCAGAGCATCGTAGTATAGCTTCAGCAAATCAAGCTGCGATGCTGGTTATTATTTTATCATTCCAGCCGTCAATTTTGCACAATAGTTCGGCAGCAATGCGTGAAATAGTTGACAGATTTTTTCCTGATAACTGGGTGATAAGTATCTATATGGGAATCGTTTTAAATCTTTGTGACTGGTGGTTACCTTACAAAGCAGCGCGTACAGCTCTGAACAATACTTTAGAGACTGCTAACATCAAGAAAACAGCCCAAAATTATGGACTAAAAATAAAAGTAAGTAAAAACAAACTATTGTAAATTTAATTGATCATTATTCAGGCAATAAAAGTACTTAATTTATAGAAATTGATAACAGAAACTGAAAAATTACAACTAGCAGTGACGTTAGATGAGAATGAAATAGAATCAGTAATAAAATTAATCCGTGAATGCAATGTATCACTCCATTGGATGCTGTTGCATACAACTGTACCAACAGTTTTACGAGAAGAATCAAAGCGTTCTCGGTTATTGCGACAGCAAGTGATCAATGAAAGTAAATATACTCCTGAAGAATGCTTGAAGTTATTATTGAGCACCGCTCAAATAGAGCAAGACGTCAAACAGATTTACAAACAGCTGTTGCATGACAAAGAGTCTAAATGGAGCGAGAATAAAAACACGTGTGTCGAAAGAATCAATGACCTAGCGCAGGTATTGGAGACCAACAAGCACGTCGACAGTGTAGAAACAAATGAATGCTTGAAAATGTGGTTCAAAGAAATTAGCGCTCACGTGAGCTCACTTCAGCAAGAGGACGGTAGAAAGATAGCTCAGTTACTTCAAGCGCTCGAGGAAGTTCAAGAGTTCCACCAGCTTGAAAACAATCTACAGGTGTCTCAGTATTTAAATGACACACGCGAGATTTTGCACAACATGCTACGAACCGGTAGTATAACGGAAGACACAATGATTGCCTTGAATATATTAACAGACTGTTGCTACGCTTGGAATATCATGGAAACTTTTATTGATATAATGCAGAATAATATCAAGAAAAATCCTCCTACTGTTATTAAATTAAAAGCGTTGTTCTTAAAAATGGCTTCGGCTTTAGAGATGCCATTGTTGAGAATCAATCAAGCACGCAGCGCAGATTTGTCCTCTGTTTCACAGTATTACAGTCGGGAATTGGAAAGTTATGCTCGTCGAGTGCTGCAAATTATTCCAGAAACTGTTTTTGGATTACTGGCGCAAATAGTTCACTTGGAGACGAATGTTTTTAAGGAGATACCTATGAAACTTTACAAAGATAAATTAAAGGACTACGCGCAGCTGGATGAACGTCTGCAAATGGCCAAATTGACCTACGCTGTTTCGGTATTCACCAAAGGAGTCTTGTCGCTGAGAAGCGTCTCCCTAGGAGTGCTCAGAGTTGATTCCCACAGATTATTAGAAGACGGAATTCGTCAGGAGTTGGCTAAAAAGATAACAATTGCTCTGCACAATGGTTTGACATTCGACAATAAATCCAAAGCTAGTCTTGTTGAAAAATTGAATGACTTGGCTAACGTGATGGATGGCTATCGCAAGTCTTTTCAATATATTCAAGACTATATAAATATCAACAGCTTGAAAATATGGCACGAAGAAATAACGTTTATTATCAATGCAGCGTTAGAGGATGAATGCAAAAATTCAACGTGGATGCCGAGTAAATCCTGGAAGATGTTGATCACCGATGACAAACAGGATTATTCTAGTCTTGTTGAGGCTAATGGAGGTAGTACTTTTATGGGTAGACTTGCCAAGGAATTGATACGCGTGACTGATCCAAAGACTACTGTCTATATTGAGCATGCGTTGGCGTGGTATGATTTGAAAAGCCAGAATGAAATTTTGAATTACAAAGTTTTCTCTATGGTACTGATGGCAATAGGCACTCCTGGCTTGCATGGGCTCGATAAATTATTGTCGCATTTTATTACGATGGAATTGAAAAATTTATTCAAATATGTTGACCATGGGGTACGTGATAAAAGCTGGGGAGCTATGATTGATGAATGTAGAGCTATTATTCAAAATATTGAGTACTGTAGAAGTAAGGAATTATTTAGTTTATTTATTTGAATAGATATTAATTTTTTTATTCATTACAGATAATCCAGGGAAGCTTTATTCAAGTGTAATGAATCATTCGAGCAAAATATGGCCTTATATGATAGAATGTTTATTAAAAATAGGCCACTACCAATTGTTGAGGAATAAAATTAGCTATGAATTAAATACTGCTTGTAAATTTGAGGCCAAACACGTGGAATCCGCACTGAGAACTCTAAACCTGTAAGTATTTTGAGTAATAGCTGTTTATTGGTAATTAAATAGATAAAAATATGTATATTTGTAATGATATTTACAGAGCGGTACTTGATGAGTTACGTAAAAAGCCTGATGAGTGTCTGACAACTCAAGAAGAGCGTGATTTTATTCATGAATTGAGTATTAGGCTCGACTGGACTGGCATCAGCGATCCTCTTAATAAGACATATTTAAAATTATCGAGTTTAAATAATTTAGATCTTTTATTATTTTTGTTCACGATTTCGTATTTACACAAGCTCCATTACTGCAAAAATACAGGTATTTATTTTTTGATTACTCCATTAAATAAATTATTTGTCGGAATTATAATTAGGTGAGTAGAGTAATAGATTAATTAAGATGAGTAGTGTTGTAAAGGTCAATTTAGTCTAGACGCAGCTTACTGAGAATACGCCTAGACAGACGTCAGTTTTACGAATAATATAAATAATCCGATAGGAATTCATTTTGAAATAGAATTTATATTGATCTATTTGTAGGTATAGTATCATTCAAATTCAATTTCCTCAAAGTACTCAAGATACGAATCATGAATAAACCAATTGATTTAAATTCATAAAAATAAAACTTACAATCATTCATTTCCTATCGTGTGGTTTTAATTTATTTTTATTTATATATTTCAGCTAGTCTTCTCAGCAAGAAAACTCAAGATTCCATCGATGCCGTTGTTTTTACAATAGGCGTTCAAACATTCCTGCGGCAATTTTCTAATGATATTTTTAATAATTACATAGCATATCTCTGTAAATATGTCTTATCTTTTGTGTCTAGCGACAGGTATGAATTTTTTAATAAAAAAAATTTTGTGATATTTAAATTTTATTAATAATTATTATTATTTTTGTTTTTAGTGGAAAAATGGGAAGTGAATGGGAGTCAGAAGGCACAACTATTTTGTACTACTTGCAATTAATATCAAAGTATGCAAACATACCAAAATCCGCAATATTTGAAACAATTCCGGTCATCATTTTAGACCAGTACAAGCAAGTGATAAAATAAGATTAATTTAGTTATATTAATAAAATACAAAACAATGAAAATATGTATATAATTATGATTTATACTTTATGAAAGTCAAAATAATAAAATAATATAAAAATAAATAATTGGGCAATTTTTCCAACTATTTAATTAAAATAAAATGATGAGTATATTATTATGGATATTAATATGTTGAGCAGTATATGGATGCGCGTGTGTGGGGAAAACATTAGTTGCCACAGTAGTTAAACTCTGCAGAGGATCAAAGTGGGTATTAAATGAAATAAAATGTAACGAAGATGTAGTAGGCGTGATACATAATCGAGTACATCGGCGGCAAATGCACCAGCGGTTGCTTGCGGTAGGCGGCTGCACGCCGTTCATCGGCGACAAGTGCGGTAGCCGCTGTACACAGTTGTTGGTTCGTCCTACAAAAAGGACTCACAATCGAATCGGGTTCTCAGTTGCAAATAGAATAACTCCAATACCGATTATTTTACAAAAAAGTGTAGTTTTTATATCACTGTTCAGTATCTATTAGTTATGCTGTACTCAAATTCTCAATGAAGTCTCGCAAAAAGGTGGATATTTATTTTTAAATATATTATTATTGATAAATAATTAATCTATTATTTGTATGTTCAATTATTTAAGTTGACACAGAATGTTTAAGATGTGACTGTGCGTGTTTTATGTCATACTAATTTCTCCGAAAAATAGTTTATTACTTCTTTGTAATTATCGAAAATTAAATAGAAGATATATATAGTTTTATTATTTATTTTTATTATACTTACTTTTGTACATAATTTTATTTTTTAAATTATTTATTATAAATTTAAATGATGGAAATTAATTTATAATTTTTTTTTTATTCAGAAAATAATGCGTTTAATATTGGTGATTACAATTGCAATTTTTGGAGGATGTACTGTCGCATCACTAGACACCAGTTCATTTCGTGATCCATCATCTTACATTATGAGAGTACGTCCTAAGACGCGTATGGGTAGTTCACGGCCATTTCCTCTAGTAGAACTTCCACTATCGACAGCAATTGGTTTTGGTAAACGCAATAAAAATTACTTGACAACTAATTTAGAGCCAAAAATGAAACGTATTCTTCGTGGTATTTCCACGCACAATAACTCTCGCCAGTAAGTATTGACCTTATCATCACTCTCATTGCAATAATAAAAAGAAAAAAATATTTTTTAACAAAAAACAATGCTATTGTTTCAATAGAACTCCAATTTATTGGTTTGCCAAGCTTGTGAGAAGATATCCGGGACTCAAAACAGAATAAAGTATCAAGTATTCAGTTTTCATGACATTTGACCAGCTTTCAACTAGTGAATGTATATTTTCAATTTTAATTACCATAGATATCAAGCGTATTATACATGTTATATTTTATTAGTATTAAATTTTCGTTTTAATTATTATGATTGTAATTACTTTTTATTTATTAATCTAAATGTATTTTAATAAAGGTTTGCGGTTAATAAATAAATTGTACGTGAAATTGAAATTTCATTCAATAGTACTCATTAAAATTTATTTTTTAAAATCTCAATATTTTTTACTAATTAAAACATTTAAATGCTAGTGATATTTTTCCTAATATACAATAGTTACTTTAATTGATTGAATTTTTAATTAGTTATTAAACTACATAAGATATTTCATATTTAATCAATAGATCAGTGATAATATATCAAGCAAGAAAAAAGACTTGCAAATAATATAAAAATGCGCGAAGCATATATTATAATTGTATAATATATATTAAATAATTAATAAATAGACTATTAATCATAAATTGTTAAAATTTTAAATTTCATCAAATATTATTAAATAATCCGATGTAATTTTGTATCACAGAAATACTCATCTTCAATAGGTCTTGTTAATAATTGTTATTATTTTTATAATTTCTTCATTCTAATATTATAATATGAATATGAATACAAGCATTACAGTTACTTTGAGCTATATATTGCTTGCATACGTAACATACAAGGCACATTCTTGGATGCAAAAAAACACGTGTTAAATGATAATTCACCAAGCAACATTGCAAAAACTTATTTCATTGTTTCTTCTATTGCTTTTGTCATTAATATGTTTTAATTCAATACAACAAATGTGCGTTGTCTATTCAATTGTAACTTCCATACACGGAGAAAAATACATTTACAAAACAGATACATATTCTTCTTGATAATTAATTCTGTAAAAAAAAAAAAATAATAAAAAAATTATCTACTTTTAATTGAGCATTAAAAATTTTAAATGTATATAAAAAAATTACTTTTATAATTATATCATTAACTAATTAAAAATTAATCTAATTTATTATTTAGTTAATAGTTTATATTTTATGACCTTTAAAATATTAAAAGCTAATAAATTTACAGTCGCAACCTACTTTAATAATTTTAAGAATACACAGATGTATTCAAACTAACTTTCAATTATTTTTGTACAATTTATACAACAGTCGTTAAAAAAACTTGTTAAAAAGTTGATCTGTAATTGCAAATTATTTTTCTCCGTGTTGTTTAAATAATTGTGCGAATATTGACAATAAATAACAAGATATTGATAACAATAATAATAATAATAATAATAATAACTAAAAAAATAATTAGTAATATATAGACCTTTATAATAAACTATATCAATTATTTCAAACAGTTTTACGCTGAGCTAAAATTCTGCTAATAAATTTAACAGGGAAACTATCGGAATTATTTTATTAATTATTTACTGTAATTAATTAATTAATAAAATTTTACGAGAGACGTCGATGCGATTCGTGAGGAAGACGATGCGAGCTGCTGTCAGTAGAGCTTTCGCCAGCGCTCGATGCTTTTTTCCTCTCGTTAATGACGTTACGCCGAGACTTTTTCTGAACTTTTGATGGTCGTGTATTTTGTTGTTGTTGCTGGTGTTGTACTGATTGATTGTCATTAATTGTTTGCGTAACGCGTGAAGTTAAATCTTGATTATTCACGTCGATTGTCGTCGTCGCCGTCTGCTCTTTATTTTTGTTTCTATTATTATCAATAGACATTATTGATTTTAATTGACTACGTTTTGTGGTGCGTTCACCTGATGCAGGACTTAGTAATAATTTAGGTGAGCCGTTGTTATTGTTGTTATTGTTGTTGTTGTTTGAGCGCAAAAGCGCGCCCAAAACTTGGCCGGAAAAAAATGTCGGCGCTTGACGGATGCGAACGGTGTTCATATTTGGACTCGCATTGTCCAAAATTAATTTTTCGGTGTCACCGTCCAGATCACTGCCGTTGTAATACGCGTTCCGAGTGCTTTCTGATTTTTTTAAGATCGATTTGGCGCGGTGATGCCGATCTGTTAGGTACGACATCATCGATTCGCTGTCTATTGAATCGACTGACAGAGACAGTTTGTTTCCACTTGTCGTGCCTGAAAGTTTTTTTTTTTTTTTATTTAATAATAACATGTTTAGACTTTTAGTTGTAAATTAACTCATAACAAAATTTAATTTATGAAGAAAACAAATTACCAATTTTTTAATATTATTTATATTTTTTTTGTATGTTTAAATATCGAATGAAAAAATTCACTAGGTAATTTTTTAAGTTCTTCACATGCAATTAAAAAATTTTTTTAAATCGTTGAACTTATTTTGAGAAAAATATTCTTATTCACTTATTTGACATTAATAAAAATTTTTGACCAAGAAACAATGAAGAATATTCTTCGGCTAAAAACTTCTGACAGAAAATTTGATTTTTTAGTTTTTAATTTAATATTTAAACATACAATTAACTAAGAACATTTGATAAATATTAAAAAAAAAAAAATAGCAGTATTTTCTCTTTCTTTAAAAAAAATTTATTGCAAATAGTTAACTTTAAAACTTCTAATAAATTTTTATAAACTTGCATTTTAAAAATTACAATGGTAATTAAAGCTTTAAAAAAATTCAGCGCAACTATAATTATCAGAATTTTATTTTATAACTGCTAATAATGATGTATAGAAAAGATATAACGGTAAATATAGTATTGCATTATTATTTTTATTAAAGATTGATGAAGTATAAGATTTATATCGTTTCTATACGGATTGAAAATAAAATATAGAGAATGGGATAATGAATGATTAGTGCAGCATTTTCAATATCATAAATTCCGAGTGAAAATAAAGCTTTCATTCGTTATCATTTTATTTTTTATTTAAAATCTCTCTTCACCTTTATTGCGGTTCTGACTGTATCATGTGAATAATCTACAATCAGATGCATTTTGTAACAATAAAAAAAATAAATAAATTATTTAAATATATTAATATCATATTTATAATATAAGTTATTCAAATAAATAAATAAATAAAAATAAATAACTTAAATTATGATAAATCCAGTCCAACACATTTTTATAATATTATATATAAGTAACAATAAAACTTACAGCGCTAAATTAAATTCGTTCTTTTTTTCTATTAATCTTTTCATTTATTATTTTTTTTTTAAACTGTATTATTGTTTTTTATTAATATCGACTCAACGATGATAAAAAAATAAATTTATTTACAAGAGCGTGACTTGTTGCGGAAATAATTCGGAACCAGCCAAATAACTTTCGTCTTTATAAAAAAATCATTATTTTTAATTAATAAATTAGTTAATAAATAAATTAATAATACCATTTTCTCGTTTTTCTTCTTTCTCCCATAGATTATTTTTTTTTTTTTGTTAAAAACTTAAGACTCTCACTCACAGTAAATATTTATCACGTTTAAATTTAATGATTAATTCCTCTTACTTAAATTAATTATTAAAAATGAGCAAAAATTTCCTAAAGTGTCATTGAGCGTCTAAATAAATAATAAATAAAATAATAAAATCTACCGCAACAGACACTAGATAAAACTTCAAAATTTGTATACTTCCTTAAAATTTTCATTATTCATAGATATAATAATTTCTATCTTTTCCCTTGAAATTTATAATAAATTCACATAGACAATAGACTTTTTAATAATTAATTATTGATAAGCTATGACTCGCGTGCACAGCTACCGGCTATATTTACCTACAGGACATTTAGACCTTTGTTCATTTTTTATTTATTTATTTTTTATATCGTTTTCGCTTGCTTTGTTTATGATACGCGGGCAATATACTAATAATAATAATAATAATAATAATAATAATAATAATAATAATAATAATAATAATAATAATAATAATAATAATGATAATAATCATGTATATATAGTAACAAGTTAATAAAATTTACATATATACATATGATAATTTGCATGTCGTGATATAAATCAAGTGTACATATTATTTCAGCTAGTGTGTGATAAAAATTAATAATAATAAAAAAGCACGGCCTATTAGCATTCGTGCCATTCATTCCCAACAACTATTATGAATATCAATTTGTGCCTAGAGCTTGCAATTAATGCAATGATTCAATGTATGTAATGTTACTTCACTATAGTCTTCTATCATAAAAAAAAAAAAAAAAAAATTAACAATTCATTTCCTTTACCAATAGTCAATTAATCAATAATTAACCGTGTAATGCGTGAACAGTGCGTGCGTAATATTACAACTTGATTTAAAATTTATTATTTATTAATATTAATAATAATAAATTTAATTAGACTATTTAATATTCTAACGTGATAAAATTGCATTTATAATTATCCATCTATCATTCAACAATTCTAGAGGAATAAATAATAATCTATCATCTATCGTTCTCCTACGACTCAAAGCAGGGAATGATATGTCATTATAACTTGATATCTTACATTAATAATAATAATAATGATAATAATAATTAAAATAATAATAATTAAAATAAAATCTATTTACAACAACATTAATGATGAATAAACTAGCCCTAATGAAATATATCTGAATAATTAAAATTACTGAGCGTTATTTCAATAAAATAGGTGACTTATTAACAAAGCGGTGGGCTGATGGCATCCTCGAGCACGTGAGTTACTATTGTTGGTTCATTTACCATATTGCTTAGTACCACCGCTATTCCCAAACAGATGTTGGTTTATCACTCGCGATGCCGATGCGAGACTCGTCAGCGAAGTATTTGATGTATTCCCAGGAACAGTCCCGCGACCACCTCGCAGACCTACGTATGAATTATTGTTGTCTTCCAGGCCATCCGGTGTTTTCGTTGTATTACTTTGATTACTGCTGTGCTGGTCGCCAATTATTGTTGGCCTACGTCCTGATGCGCTCTGAAATTTTATTAATATATTAGTAATTTGATTTTATGATTTTAATTAATTATTAATCATAAAAACTAATATTTTGGACTTTACTAGACATTATTTTAAGTATAATAAATTTTTAATAAAAAATTTGGACTTTTTATCATTATGTATAAACAATTTATAATAAAAAAGTTGATATTTTCAAACGGAAAAAAGTAAACTGTAATAAATAACAGTCGATTTATAATAAGTAATGAATCAACTGATAAAAATTACCATTTCAAACAGTAAAATCGTGATTTTACTATTCACTTTATAATATTTACTATTTAAACGTTACAATTTACTCTTTACATGGAAGAAAATACTATTTCAAACAGTAATATTCGCTATGTAAATGTCTAAAATGTTTAAGTATAATAATTAAGAATTCAGACTTTGATATTTATCATTTCGTACCTAAAAAATGATCTTATGATATGTAAAAAGTATGAAATAAAGTTAATAAATTTCTAATACAAGCAATGTCAATACTTACAAAGTAAAATGGTAAATTTTAAACGCAACGCTAAAAATCAAACTGTAATTATTGACTTGCTTGGACTGGTAAAATGTATATTTTGAAATTATAATTTTTACTGTTTCAAATGTTAAATTCTCCCAGAGTGAGACCCCCTTCTCTTTCATTTGAGTTCCCCTTCTCGTCATAATATGGACTATTGAAATGGCAACTTTTACTGTTTGAAACTGTAATTTTTTAAGATGAAAGAGTCGTTTATTTACTATAGTGACAGCTACTAATCACTTATTTTGGATATTAAATTATAAATTGTGGCTTTTATACTTTCTACATTAAGTTCTGTAATATTTATATGTTTGCCACCCCGATGTCCGCTTTACTGTTTGAAACTATAAAAATTAACCGGAATCCGAGTGAATATTACAGTTTACTTTTTTCCGTGAATATTTTTCACGTTAGTTTGCTGTTTATAAATGACCTGATGTTAATATAAATGATATATATATATCTTAAAAAAGACAACTAAAATATTTGATTCTTTTTTAAATAACATTCTATCAATAAAATTTAAGTTTTAATAGAAAATAATTATTTAAATTCTTTTAATTTAAATATAAAATTACAAAAAATGTAAATATGGCGTCTGACGACAATTTCATTTATATTCCATAAAAACTTTATTTCTTCTCGATTTAAAAAATTCTTGTTTTAATTTAATCTGTTTAAGTAAAAATAAAAATTTTGAAAAAGTAATTTTAGAAATGAATTGACTATTAAATAAATGAAATTATAAATAAATGTAAAGTACCTTAGCAACACGGGTTTTTCGATGTTTTGGCAAAGTATCAGTGTTGACACTGGCCTTAATCGAGTCGTGCTGAACTTGAACGCTCTTTGAAAATTCCGTAGGATTAGTATTAGTGGAACTGGGCGAAAATAGTGCAGACTGATGATCTACGGTGGGTGATTTGTCGGTATTTATTTCCCGGCATTTGTTGTCAGCACCCTCCAAAGGATTTATGTACAAATTGCTGTCAGCCTCGTTGGGCGCATCGCCGTCCAGTAATTCTTGGGAATTGAACGGATGAGTTTGACAGGTCGCGTACGTCTCGGAACTATCAACGCTCCCGCGTTCATTGTACGATTTCGAGGGATAACTCGTCGCCGGAGTGGTCGCTGGTTCTGTCGGCGGGGCTGCAATAGCTGGAGCTGGTATTGGGGCTGATGATGCCGCTATTGCTATTTGTCTCAATGGTGATGAGTATGAGAATAAATCACCGAATGCACTTGTATCAATACTGTTCTCGCGCAGCGAACGCATTTCTTGGCATACTGGATTACGGAAATCACTTGTCGCCAGTGGCATTATGTCTTCAGCGTCTCTGTAATCTTTGTATTCCTGTGTAACATACAAAACAAACGAGAACCAACGACAATCAAACATATTATGATAATTTTTGCTCCCATACATGTCATAGTGGATCACTTTTACTTAAACTCTATAAAAAGTTAAAAAACTTTTTATGGCTCGCTTGAGTTTATTATCATCTGAAAGAATTATTTTAAAAAGAATCGTTATTATTCTGAAGAAATAACTTTTTAAAGTTTTTGTTGTTTCAAAAAAGTTTGTAAGATAAATATTTATCCGTAAAAATATATTCTTCTCTATAAATAAAATAATTCAAATTTTACTCTTAAAAAAAGTTGGAAAATTCACCTAAAAAATTTTATTATAAAATCTAAATTTTACTAATTATTTTTTCAACGCAACAAATACTAAAATCTTTTCTTCAGCATTTAATTATTTTTCTTCTGTGTGATCCTTTTAGAAAATTTCTTCTCACAGATTGAAAAAAATTTTACTTTTTTTCAAATGATATATATATATATATATATATATATATCTGTTAAATATTAAACAAGTTTTTAAAGAATAACTATAAAAAAAAAAAAAACTTTTTTCTAAATATACATGCAATAAATCTGATGAATTCTTAAAAGAAGAATAAAGTAAAAACATTAGAAAGATTATTTTACTCGCTACTGAAATAAAATTTCCAATAGGTTTTAAAATCAACAGGATGCAGGATAAAAATAAAGAGATATAATAATAATGATAATAATCATCAAAGGGTAAAAGAGTTGTTTTCGCTCTAAAATATTGTTATTGATAGTAAATACCTTAGTTGTACAAAAGCAACACTCAAATTCACTAGGGATTTCATCGAATTTCTCGGATTTTTTGCTGTCTTTTTTATCTTCATCCTAAACACCACACACAAAATACAACAAAAAAATTATACTCTCCTGTTTTATTTGTCTATTCATTTAGTCAAGACCTCCCATCGTAAACTATTGAACCTTTTGACGACTTTCTATTTATTGACGATGTGTCAAAAGTTTATTTTTTGACTTATATAAATATTAATATTACAAATATAAATACAAATACAATTAGTGCGAATAGATGAAACAGCATTTTTTATTATTAGAAATGGTTCAAGTGTTTCCAATGAGATGAATGCATTCAAATTAACAGACAGACAAAGTAGAATAAAATCAAACAAATTGTATGGTATAAATGTTTGAGTGAGTAAACAAATACCAGTGAATAAAAATACAAATAAACTTGTAAGCTTTGTATGAATAATGTACTATGTGAAGTATGAATAATGAATTATAAATTACGATGGCATTTTATTTTAATTATCTTCGGAGCCTGAGAGACATTTTAACTTAATTAAAAATATCTTTATATCTTTACACTCTACAATATAATAAATCATTTTATAATTTACATCAAAACTGTTGTTAATATCCATCAAATTAAATGCATTTTTTAATAAAAAAATTCTCTGGAGAAATGATAAATGTTTTAATTAAAAAAAAAAGAAAAAAGTTTTTAATAAATGAAGTGCCACTTTGTAATGCGAATTTACTTACCCATTGCTCAAAAAATCATAATAAATGAAGATGCAGGATAAAATAATTAAAAATAAAATATTAATGATAATATACATATATACAATGAAAAATAAATAAACAATGTCAATGAACAAAAAAATTATTTATTGATGATAATGATTTTACAAATTTGCCTGGCCCTCATATGTCTTTATTGCTATATGTTTCAACTCAGTTCCAATGAAAATTTATTGATTTATTATTATCTATATCTACATCTATGTATTCACTATATAAATATAAATTTATGTAATTGTGAATGTCTGAGTATAATTATGGACTATTTTTAAAAATAATATTGACATAATTATAAATAATTATTTTAAAATAATCAGTTCCTCATCGATACTCTGGAATGTCGTCTCCAAATCTCCAGTTCCATTTCACATTTGTACATTGCGTATATCAGGCGCCATTGTCTGAAAAATAGCGACAAATACTATTGATATATTTAAATCCTTAATTATAATCCGGTGATTGATGTTTAATTTAAAGATTTAACAGCAGTAACTTAAATTATTTGCTCTAATTATTATTCTCATTTCTAATCAGGATAAGTATCATTTCTTCATTAACATAATTAACTTTGAATTATCGTATTACGTGATTGAAAATGCTAATGGTAATGAGAAAAATAATTTAAAACGATGTTTCAATTTGTCGAAGAATTATAACATGATAAAATTGTAAAGAGTAATAACGATAAATCATTATTGATAGTTATAATACTTGAACGCTAATTCTACTTATTATATTGATTGTCTTTACTCTTTACTCTATTATATTTTGCCAGCGAAGCTAAATTGCTTGTTTTTATTGGCATTGTTTCAATGCAATATATTTTTTAATCTTTTCTTCTTAGATAATTATACATATATATTTGTAACTATAACATTATACATATGTATAACTATATTGTATATCTGCATGTACCAAAACATATAAAAGCATACTTAATTTATTACACTCACGTATTTATAAAATAAACATAAGAAATAACATTTGTAATAAATAATAAATAATACTATTAACGATAATGACAAATAATTAAATATTAAGCAAAGCTTATTATTTATTACATTTCATTTTATAATAATAATAAAAATATGTATGGTGACGCAGAAAATTTTAATAATAAAATTACAACAAAATCGTACTATTGTAATTTGTATTGTACTACCGAGATAAATATATTTCTGTCATTGGCTTACTCACGATGAAAGTCTGAGTGATTGTATAAAAATAACTATGGGCAGTAAGCCACAAAACGCTTCGACATTTGTCTCTTATGACAATTGATATTATACAGTTACGTATAATGAGTATACAAAAAAAAAAGAAGAAATGGAAAAATTTATAAAAAAGTAATCGATAAATTTGACAAAAGCACAAATAAAATAAAAACTCTTACACAAACAGTAGATATTAAATAAGAGTAATATAAAAAAATAAATTTATAAAATGCTATTTACAATTTTTAGTCTATGTAAACTTAACATATTTAAATATTTTACACACAACATAACACATTTAAACTTGTCAAGTGGGCTCTTTGTTTATATAAAATTCAAAATAAAAACAACGCAGACAAAGTGGCACATTCTTAAAATTACACATAAAAAATTAAACTGCTAAGCGATACCTTGTTTTTTTGTTTATTTTATGTTAAAAAAAGTTAAGTTAAATTAACAAAAAAAATGTAAAAAAACTAATCATACATTATTATAATTGATCATTCTTGTTATCAGAATTAGATTACAAAAAATATATATTATTTGTTAATGTCAAGTAATGCCTCTCAGTATTATTAATCTTATTAATAATTAACTCAGAACCTTGCTATGGCTGGTTATTTTAGAAACTATACCTTACACAATGTCGAAGGTTGATTACTTAATTACGTCTTAGCAGTAGCTCGAAAATGTCAAGAATTTATTAAAAATTAAATAAAAAAAGTTTATAAACAAAGTTATTTTTAACTTTGTTGATTTTAAAGTGTTTTATTAAAAATAATTTTAATAATTAACATATAATTAAACTCTGTGTATTATATTCAACAAATATAACTTCTAATATGATTATTTAAATAAGCGCTAAAAATACATTCAACAATAGTTTATTAAAATTGACGTGTTTGAATATTTCAGTGGTTAAATTTGAGATAAAGAGAGCATGAAAACGCCGTATTGATTTTATATATTTTTAGATTTTCTATAAATGCACATATTAATTCATAAACTTTTATTTTCCGGTTTGTTTAAAATTCAATTGAAATTTTTGACTTATGCTTTTTGTTTTATCAATTAAAGGTATATAGTAATAATAATAATAATGATAATATTAAATAAAATATTTTCAATTGAAATAATTCAATAACTTAATATGATAAAAATCTACTAAAAAAAAATTACAACGCAATAAGCACATATTAGTCTCAGGCTCCTTATATATAATGACAAATGACATTTTAATAATGATTAATGACAATAATGACAATGATTTCATGGGCTATTACAATAAAAAGCTCTTGTTACTATTATGTTAATAATAATAATAATAATAATATAAATGACATGATAACGTTTGAATTGTGTTGCTTTGATAAAAGCTTTCAAATAAATAATTCAAAAATAAATTATCCTTCTATAGCATCAATAAAATTTTCTTCCAAATAGATTTAACATTAAATAAAATTTTTTTTACAATGCTCAAACGTTACCGGGTGTGGCTCTGTTCTTATTTACTCAACACTCGAATTATAAAACTCGATAAATTTCACCCAGGAACGTTCATTTAAACAGTAATTATTTTATTAGCAATTCAAATGATATTTAAACGATAGTAGAAAATTAATTACCCTTAAATGGATGAAAGTAATCACGAGTAAAATAACGAGAGTTCCAATTTTTTTCTCTTTTTTTTTTTTTTTATATTTTCTTGATCAGTATGAATAATAGATTTATTATTGTAATATTTTCCAATAACGAGGAGCCGTAGCACTTTAATCACTCCTATCCGTCTCAGTGAGTCTTGATAAATAACTTTATTATTAAAGTACTTTTCTGCAAGTAATGTCGGGAAATCTATAACCGTTTATCAGCTAAGATATTCAAGATTAAAAAATAAAATAATAATTTTAATATAATATGGTGTATAATTTATACTTTCAATTCGTTTTAATACTTATATATTTGGCGACGTACCATGGCGATTCGTTGTACGTTATTGGTATTATTACTGTTATTATTATTCCTTATTTAAAATAGTGCAGTTTAAAATTTATGTCTCTCTACAAGCTTAGTGTCTTTTATAAGCTAAAATTATTAAAACGTGTAGATAATTTTAAAAAATTATTCAAATTGGACGGTGGTCGGTGAAGTGTGTCGTGTAATGTGATTAATTAATTTGTAATTTAAATTTAAATTAGTCCACTTATTAAAACACACTCAATATTATTAGTAATATCTTCAGTACACTATTTACACATAACACTATCAGCAGCAAGAATTACACTTGAACCTGAAAAAAATGAATATAAAAACTAGCTGGGTTGCTCAATGATGTCTACCTTGGTACACATTTTAAAAAATAATAAATTTAATACTTTTTAGTTTTCTAAAACTGCAGTTGGCAAAACCTAAAAAACTATTACCTATTCTCATAATATCGATAGCTAATTATAATTAAAATAAATATTATTAACAATATCATAATTATTACTATTATTAATTACTTCAACAGAGCCACATAAATGTTGTTAGATAACAAATAATCAATAATTAATTATCAAGAGGGTGACATCAAACATTATCATATCTTTAATTAACACAAATATTATTAGACAGATATTTCCATTCTACCGATGTTACGTGAATAGACTTGTGTTAATGAAGCTGCGATTAAAAAAAAAAAAAAAATTAAATTATTAGAAATTATTTAAAATAATAGTTGATAAAATAAAATTAAATAAAGAATAATATTAAAGTAAAGGAAGAATATAGTAGCGAGTAAATAATGATAAGTAACTTACGCTAGGTGTAGTATTGCCTTGGTTAGAGTGTTGAGCAAGCATCTCATCCTGGTAGTAATCCTCGTTCTGGGAACCCGGTAAATTTTGCGCAAAGTCGAGCAGCCGACGGTTAGGACTGTCTGGAGAAGTAGGCATATCATTAGAAACTTGGGGGAATGATGAAGAGGCACTTCTACGTTGTCGTGGTATATTACTGTAGTGCTCGTAATTCCGATAGCAACCGGCTCCAGTTTGCGCTGGTCCACGTCCGCAAGCCGATTCGCCCTCGGTACTGTTACCGTCTGCACCTGACATGTTGTGACCTACAAGAGTTTGAGATGAAGACAAAAAAAAAAAAATAAAAATAATTAAGACATGAACAACACACGGGGACAGGATTGAAGTTATGATTCAATTTTATTGTTTTTTTTTCTATCTAATCTAATGTCAGAGAAAGGAAATTGAAGAGGAAATGAGCTGAGGCGAGGAACTTATTCGATTGAACAAATGTTTTAATTGAAGAAATGATTCGATAGGAGAGAATATAGAAGAAGAATATAGATAGTCAAAAGTTTTGATTAATAAGTTGCATGATGAAGTCGATATAGAAGAACAAGAAGATATAATTGCAGAATAAGTTCCTCGCTTATATTATCTTACCAGTGTCGACGATGACGTCAATGAGATCCATACTCTTGGCAAAGGCATCCCTCAAATTGATATGATGAAATGATACAATACTGCCCTCACGCTTGGCACGCTCCAAGGCCTCACGACGTTTTAACGCTTTTTCACGTCTCATCTGATTTTTGTAAAACTCAGCAAAATTATTGACAATAATGGGAATAGGCAACGCAATTACCAGGACACCACATATACAACATACACTGCCAATCACTTTGCCAAGAGGAGTCGTAGGATAAATGTCTCCGTAACCTACGGTCGTCATGGTGATTCCAGCCCACCAAAACGTCTCCGGAATGCTTATAAATTTGGTCCCGGGCTCTTCTTTCTCCGCGAAGTATGCAAGGCTCGAGAATATCAGAACACCCATCGCGAGAAAGAGCATAAGCAGCCCGAGTTCTTTGTACGAATTTCTCAGTGTGAAACCGAGACTCTGGAGTCCCGTTGAGTGACGCGCTAGTTTCAGGATCCTCAGAATTCGCATTATACGGAATATCTGAACTACCCGTCTCACGTCTTGGAACTGGTCATTTGCGTTCTTGTTTGTCTCTACGAGAAACAGGGACACAAAGTACGGCAATATTGCTAGTAAGTCTATTATATTTAAGCCGCCTTTGAAGAACTTCCACTTGTCTGGCGAAGCACTAAATCTAAGCAAGTACTCCAGGGTAAACCAAGTTATGCAGACCGCTTCGACCATCGCTAGTTGAGGATTGTCTTGAAAGTTTCCCTTCTCATCGTTAACTTGCATACTGGGAATGGTGTTGAGTGTCAGTGCAATCGTCGATAGCACAATAAACAATATTGATATCACAGCTATCACCTGAAAATTTATTTATTATCTTCAACATTATCATCATCATCTCCAGTTTTATCCTTATTAATATATTATCTCATCTTCTTTTGATCTTTATCTTCCAAAGTCAGAATTTATCAACTGGAGACCCTCAACTTAAACTTCTATTAAATTATTATGTTTGATTTATTGCCTTGACATAACTTCGCGGAATATATTTTCATCAAGTACACTCGTCCCAGGTACTAATTTATAAGTTTTTAGTAAATAGACTTATTTACTTATTTTTATTATATATATTTTTTTTTATTTTACAGCAGAACGTAGTATTTTTTCTACGACCACCTCCCACTTTCTTCACTGTTCTATCCTAGCATAGCTTCGTGGAGCGTTTACCGTCACTGTATATTACCTCAACGTTTATTTCTAATTTATTCTCATTATAATTATCATTAATATTAATCTTAACTTTGTTTTATTCTTAGATATATATATATATATATATATTTATGAATATGATTAATTATTCAAATATATATTATATAAACACAAGACAAAATGCCAAGCGTTTAAGCAATAGACAGCCGACCAAAATTATTCATTCAGTTTTTTATGAAAACAACGAATTTTATTTTCATTTTTAATTTTTTTTTTTTTACATTATTTTTAATCAAAAGACGTGACGTAAAATAACAAACAAAAGCGCACGATGCACATATGGATATTAAATTATCAATCGGATATTCTATGCATAAATACATTATTCATAGAGTAAATTCTTTCTATTTCTATGTATCGGTTTGAGAATGAAAATTTTTTTTACTAACCAGTTTATTAATAAACAAATATATACTGAAAGCAAGAAAAAGCCATTGCACAATATTATTTATAAACCAAATAAATTATAAATTTAAATGTAAAATAAATTTAAAAGCAAGGCTTTTATCTGGGTTTTATATTTATATAATATAAATGAATAATCTTGGAAGAAACGAAAACGACTCTCATCGAAGCTTTGTTTAAAAAAAAAAAAAAATATAAATAATTTCAATAAAGTTTTGATACAATGAACCTTCAACAGGCACACTAACCCAGTCATACTTGACCGTTCATTCACATTCAGCGATCCATATTCTACAAGTAACCGGCACAATTAAACGTTATTTGTCAGCACACGTGTATTCTCGATGACACTTGCTCTGATATTCGCCAGCGTGTCTAGCAGTCGTTGATAATAATCACGTGTGAGAAAAGTTTATCGTTTATTTTAGAACTTTTATTTGTAGAATACTTGCTTTCACATATTTACAGCAGGCTCTTGCAGTAAGTATTAATTTTGAAAAAATTTTTTTAAGAACAATATATAAAATTTTGTTCAGAATTTTCATTAAATTGATCTGCAGTATTATGAATAATTTTACGCAAATCAATTTAAATTTTTTTTACAGTTAACATATCAATCAACTTATTTTTTTTCAGCTGGATTTTACAAAAAATTGTCTCGAGGCCGGATTGACGAGCCAATACAAACACATCGTTACTGTCCCTTCAAGATACCGTTCCTTGTACCTACAAGTAATCATGCGCTCATCGTATTGATTTTATTTAATGAAGAGATCTTAAGAAATTAATTAATAATAGAAAATAAGGTAAAGTATGATATAATTGATAATTATTAATTAGATTATATCATTTTATTAGATAACTTAACCACCTGCAGGGATACTATTAATAGAAAAGCAGAGGAAATTAGATAAATAAATAGATACGCGTGATTACTTTCCACAGGGAGCGGGAACGAGAAAGGACTTACGTGATACCTGGTAATCGCGTATGAACCCTCCCATCATTATCACCGCGACATTTACATTGATTATATATTGTTGGTTTTATTTCTTTTTAATAGAACAAATTCGTTCTTTAAATATTTGCCGAAACAAGGGGAAAAAGCTGTTGGAAAATACAATTATACATTTATAACCAAGATCGAATATTATTGAACACCACCTAGAAATTAAAGTACACATTACAGTAAACGAACAATATTTATATTTACAGTTGTAAGCACTTGGATTACATTTACGATTATAATTCAATTTTTTAAGCGTTAGATTAGTTAATAACGATCAAGTTTATGATTATGATTATGGTTTATGATTAACTGTAAGTGTATATTAATATTATAGTAGAGAGTTTTGAGATAGTAATAATTATGTTCGCTATAAACTTTTTATTAACTAAGATTTATCGTTAAAAGCTCGGTCACTACCTTCTTCTATTATAAAATAATATTAATAATAATAATAATAATAATAATAATGATGATGATGATGATGAGAAGAAATATTAAAATAAAATGAAGTACTGGACTTTATCGGTTTAGAGATCATGAAAACTATCGTCAGCGTAAAATAAAGACGTTGTAAAAAAAGATTGTAAACTGAATTGTTATACTATATAAATCTAAGATATAAAAGTATTTGTGTATGAAATTAATGGCTGATTTTACAGTGATATTTTTATTATTGCTATAATTTATAAGTTATAAGTAAACATACCTTATATTTCATATTTTATAAGTATAGTTTTGGGCAAGCCAACTGACTATTAATCTCAAACGACCCTCCCGGAGGCTACAATACTTCTAACTGTGCTCAAAAAATTTATATTTATACTATAAAGTTGTTTTATGCTGAGATTCATTAATCCCCTCTCTTGAAACAGGGAAAAGAAAATTAACCGCCGAAAAATCTATATTTGGAAGGGAAGAAAAGCTAAGAAAGAAAAAAATATATATGTACGTCTGAATGAAAAAATGTTAATAAATTAATACGAAGGCGGTCAGGTTATAAACCTTTACTTAGAAACAAAGTTTTAAAGTAGCCTAGAAACGTCGTGTTGAAGCAAAACTTTGGCGTTTAATTATTCGAAAATTAGATTTATAAATAACTCGCTTATTATAAAAGTTGTATTACGTGGTGATTGATATTGCTTGTTAACTTTAACGTAAATATTAATGCCCTTTTTTTATGTAACGTCTTTATATTTGCCAGATATTGATTTCAGTAGATGACCTAAACCGATAAAGTTTCCTTCTGTTATAATTCACTTATATTAATTGTTTTTTGATGAATTATTATTATTATTAATATTGAGTGTAAAAGCCGTGGATTATGTAATTTATTAAAATTACAGGAAATAAAAAAAAAAAAAATGCAGCGTGAGTAAAATACATGGCGGTAAAAGCCTGGTCGGAACATAATTATTGTATACTACTGATGTGCTGAAAAATGTTGGGCAGCAATGTGTATGCAGCAATTATTCTGGCGAGCGTACTTGACATTATTGTCGCTGCAAAGTGTACAGCAAAAAATGGAAACAAGGAAGCGGTAAATGAAGTTAAAAGAATATTTAATTTAATATGGATCATAAAAGAGTGTGCAAGCAACAGAACGTTTTAATAAAGCAGAGAAAGACCTTTTGTTTTAGCATAGTTTTTCGTCATTTGCACTGAAGATATATACATGTATATGATATAAGACATATATCTTACTCTTGTTGAGTCAAATTGTAACCACCAGAGTGTAATTTTAGATTTTACAACAACCTTTGTGTAAATTTCTCTTTAATACGTTCACGCTGGTTGTCTGGTTTCAGCCATTAATATAACGTGAACTTGCATTGGTGATGTCAGTGGAGTGGGAATTTGTGAATCGCCAAATGGAATTTAATGCATGCGCGTTTTAATAACAACCGTTAAAAAACGTCTGTGTATTTACATACTCGTAAATTGTATCATATAATCGTATATTTGTTATATAGATATACTGTACATACCAAATTTATGCAGTTATCTATAAAGACATAAAATGCTACGTACTAATATTTTTTCTTTTTTTTTTTTTTACATGTCTGCGTGATGGATAAAAACTTTGCGTGGAACTGGAGTGTTGATAATGTTGAAGATGTAAGTACTTGTTATGTGCAGTAATTTTAATGTTAAATGTTATTGTTAATAGTTATTAATTGATTAATTAATTTTTATAGTAAAATAAAATGGTGAAGATAAACTCACCCTGGCGGCAATTGATGTGGTGGGTTTTTCAAGCAAATCCCATAGCCACTTTTGGTATTGCGCACATTTGCCGTCCCCGAATTCCTCCTCCTCCCTTTGCCGCAACGACTCAGCCTCCTTCCTCATCTCCTCGTGTACATGCTCTTTTCTCTGATGATATTTGTGCTGACAACAACTCTCTAAATACAATTCATCGACTCCCCAATACTCAAGATCGTCGCTAAACGCCAATACACACATCTCGTCAACGAGATGGAGTTTTCCAGTACGATAAAAATTTAAAATTGAGCTAAAAGATTTCGGATGACGATCAAAAAAATATTCATTGTCAATAAGCGAGTAGTCGTCGCATAATTCAGTTATTGCTTCATGAGTGTTACAGTCTCGAAGACGTCCGAGTCTCGTGTGCGGTAACCTCTCCAAAGTTCGCCACAATACTTCGTGCTTAACGCCCCCGACGTTTATCGATACACGTCTATTCAAAGCCTTTGATCTCATTATCATGAAAGGCTCTGGGGGCAGTGAGGTCATGGATCGGGAGTAAGTCCGTTGCTGCATCTGAAGAGGAAGAGGAAGTGGTGGTGGCGGCGGTGCCGGTGCCGGTGCCGGTGGTAATGCCGATGGTAGCGCCGAGTTGACACTCGCAAACGGTGCGTAACGTACTTCTTTGCTCCACCCGACTCCTCCTGTACCGGCACCTCCAGCAGTTGTTCCCATTCCCGTTCCCGTTCCCGTTCCTGCTCCTGCTCCTGTTCCCAGACCACCTTGTCCAGAGGATGCCATCGCGCTTGAAGTAATTGTCCTGTCACTTTCAAAGTTAAACCCCTCGAGCCCTGGTGCCTGGTGGTATGGGAGATAGCCATTGCCATTGCGATCCGCATCCACTCCCGCGTCTTCCTCGTATCTTCGCTCGTTCAGCATCAGATGAACCTTTTGTATTTGTTTTTTATTGTTATTGCGGCTCAGGATAACCACACAGATCGACTAGCGGCTAGCCTGATCAGCACCTGGCTCTCATCCGTCGGCGCAGCACCTCTCCGCCACCGTCAACAGTGTAGCTCTGAGCCACCTCATAATCTGTAATAAAATGACAATATTTTACTATTAATAACTTTTTTTTTTTAAATTACTTTAAGATTTTTTATTTTTTAACTTAATTATTGTTTAATCGAAAGAATTTTATTTCAGTTTTTAAAACCTGACTCCCTTTTCATTAACTTTTTTTTTTTAATTATAATTATTATTGTATGTAAATTAATTAAAGAAGAAAAAAACAAAAATTTACTTAATAATAATAATAATTATTATTATTATTTTAATATCTAGACTTTATAATTAAAAATTGATCTAAAAGTTAGCTTATCATTTAACTCTAAGTATTCTTTACACGTTATGGAAAATTTAATCTCATTGAAGGTGTAGTTAATTAGTTATAAAGAACAAAGATAAAAAAACTAAAAAAGTTTATATATTAGTATATAAATACCCAGTAACAAGTCTGTTCATCTAACCAAATGTTATTCAATTTAATTTTATTACTCTTTGCTTAAAGTTTGCTGAAAGTACGAAGCTACCGGAAGAATACCAAATACACTCCGAAGAATTAAAACATATATATAAATATTAACGATTATTATTTAATAGTGACGTTAGTCTATACTTAAATTTAGTTGGTCAATGCAATAGCATTTAGAACGATCAATATCCTCTACAACTCTGTTTACAACCTTCAAATATCCCTCGTTATATTACTGGGAAATGTTACAAGTTTATACGCCACCACTCCCTGTTATCTGATTGCTCGTGAACACGCTTTGTTATAAATTATAGCTACCATCTCTGAGCCTACCATACTGTATACTGTATATTGCATACTCAATTACAACTGCTCTACTATTATAATAATTATATATGCTTTTTATTCTGAACTAGGCAGCATTTTTTTCTAACACCACGAACTTGCTTTCCTAGCCACGTACTCTCGATCTAACAGAGCGTACCCTTGAACTAGTTACCTCTAAATCACGTCATCAGATTTGAATTTGAAAAATTATTTTATAACAATCTTGTAATCTGCTTAGATCAAACTCTTGAAGAAAATTATTATTTTCCTGAGTACATAACATAACAGGTATAATTTTAAGAGCCCTTAATCGCAGATTAGTCATGAATGACCTTGTCGAATTACAGTAAACCCGGATGTTCTTTTAAATCTTCATCTTTATGTCCATTAATCACGCTCCGGGTAACTTAACCGCCCCTAAAATTATAAAGAAATAACTAATAAAATAAACAACCAAATAAAATTTATTTGGTTGTTACAGTTAAAATGTCAGTGATGTAACATATAAAAATCAATTATAAAAACCGCTCCAAATATTAATGTTTTTTCCGGTTGACTCCCAACTTGTTCTACTCTCATCGGTAATTTTTTTTATAGCGCATGGATTTTGGCGTTGCATCAAATACCGACTGGTAGGTTTTCGGGTCGTAAATTTCTTAGCTTGACATTACGCTACGTAGCTACTATTATACTACTTTATACTACTGCAAGCTGATGCAAGCTGGTATTGCTAAAATGCATACATCGAGGATAAGAAAAAACTTTTTTGCTTGACAGTTCATTGCCAGTTAAGTTGAGGGACTAACTTGCATACAGGACTCAATTCCGATCCAATTGGCATTTGCAGCTACGGAAATCAGCCCTCGAAAAATCCAAGACAGATATTTAGCCGACGTAAGATATTATTGACGTTTCGTAAAGTTACACACAATGTTATTTGTACATACTCAAGGCTATATAGCACTCTGATGACTGATGACCGATGATAATTTTATCCCAACGGTTTTATTTTTATTTTTAGAATCTTAGATGTGCTCTTGAATTTTCATTGATCAATAACAATAAATGAATAGCTGTTAAGTGACTTTATGACACTACTAAACGTTTGACTTGATACTCTTTTTATTTTTTGTTTATCTTTTTCTTTTTCTTCTTTTTCTTCTTTTTCTTCTTTTTCTTCTTCTTGGTCTTATTCTTACTCCATTCGTCTTCTACTTCTTCCCCGTGCTCTTCCCCTCCACTCAAAGGGGATTAGCATAAATAAAACGATACACGTAACAGCTTCCATTCACCAACACATTACAGACGAACCAGCGTGTCGTCTAGATAAAAGCAAAAAATGAGATGAACGAGCAACAATAGGAGTTGATAGTAAAGTCATAACGACTGCTAAGATATTATTCTACAGCTTTTACCCCAACACTTAAGAGGAAATTTCCTCTTATCTATTTACCCTTATAATATACGTGTCATACATACCTACAGATCTATCTATATGTCTCATCTATACGTATAAGTTTAACTGTATATAAATACATAGACAGATACGGAGACACTGTAACAGAAAAAAAGATATAGACAGCCACAGAAGATTAGGGGTGGTGCTCCACTGCCCTAAATAGAACAGTGAGTTCAACGATTCGACCCCCACAAGGCCAGAGATAGCTCGGTTTATACTTCCGAGGACTTTCCTGCCCTACATGCTCACAAATCAGAATCGTTATCTCGAGGGTAAATGCTACTGCTTGACACAGTCACAGTTTCAATGACAAATTGTTAAAAGTTTCGCTTAAATAAATGAAGAAAAAATTAACTCTGACGTAAAATTTTTTTTGTAAGGATCGAGTGGCTTTGGGTAAACAAAAGTTCCACCACTAAAACTCTTTATCAAATGAAGGGAATGATGCATCTAGATATCTAGATATTTTAGGGGAGTGTATAGGCTGACCAAAGCGGATGTGTACCTACCTGAAAGTTTACGACGACGCGATTGGTTCTCATAGCACAATCGATTTTCACCCTTATTCGAACGTTTACCCACGAGGGATACGATCCACATGATTCAGATGTAGAATTAATAACTAGTACTCGTTGTAAATAATAAATCAACTCAGTGTCAATACATCCACATAACTTTTCATCGATCGTATTGTTTTATGTGTTTAACATTTGTATATACGTATACGTCTATTTATATATATTTTTATATTTTACATAAGTATCTATACTACACTATATACTCTACGATGGTTTGGTAACAGAAAAAAAAAGCTCCATGGTTACGTTTCTTTATGTGTTCGTTCAGTACTGCGCGATCGCCGTGACTTAAAATCCACACAAACTTATACTCTTTTTTATTTATTTCAATATATTATTATTTTTTGTTTAAATCAACTATACGGTCTTGTAGATTAAACCGAAGCGAAGAAAAAACAAAAACTTTCAAAATAGAACGATGGGTTGCTTTTAAATTTTTCCTATAGCCACATTAATATTGTCGTCTAAAAAAAAAAGAAAAAAGAAAAAAAAAAAATATAAATAAAAATAAGTATCAAGAAAATGAATAAATATAAATAGACATGAAAGTTTTATTTTTAACACTAAAAAATTAATTTCGTTTTTTATTCTTTAGTTTTTATTTTAGACTTTGTTGTTATTATTTCTTTTTTATTTAAAATATTTATTTATATATTTTTGATTTGTTTTATTTTTTTAGTATTAAAAACTCGGATTATCCTGGGTCTCTCACCTTTTTAAGAAATACTAGTTGGTTTCTTCTTTAGAATCGCATTCAACATCACGTCACACACTCGTAAGCCCAACATTATTTCGTCACGAGTAAACTATCAACGCTCTAGTCGACGGAGCTTGCGAAACGTGCTTTACCACTTGTTTCATGGGCGCTGCGAGCAACGACGATTTGCTCCACTATCGATTGCCATGTGTGCCCCTTGAAACGGGTCGCGTCGCGCGCTTTCTTAAGCTCTCTCTCTCTCTCTTAAGCTCTCTACCTCAATCTCTTTCTAGTTTTTATTTCTTCTTTCCGTACTATTATCTAAAATCTTTTTAAACTTGTTTTTCTTTCAACTTCTTTCGACTCTCTCTAATATGTTTTTTCCGTCCATCAGTTAAACACACGACGTTTTCAATTTAATATACGAAGCACCCTGGATGACAGATCTGAGAAACGTCGAGAGTTAAATTAAAAAATAGTTTTTCAAAAAAACAACTTATACATTTATATATATATTACATTAATTTATATAGATATATAGATACATATCAGCCAAGCAAACACTTTTAATTTGGTCAAGGAAGCGGAGCTCGTAATCCCCGAGGACGGGACTACACGACTAAACCGCTCAGCTGGTTCTACTGCTGGCTTCATGTTTGTTCATGACGAGGCGCTCACTTGGACAACTGCCAGCAATGCGCTTGCCTGGCCAATATAGTTTACTTTCTACACCCTACTCTTTTTATCTTTGATTACATCGGACATTTTTCTGAATGACAGCTGATTACCACGTCAACCAATTACATTTATACTACATCAAATTAATTTAAACAACGATCAATCTTAATCTTAATTCTTACTTCTTAATTTAACTTCATGAATTCGTCTTAACAAAAATTCTACTTTATATAAATATTATTTATTCACGCCACGATACAAAAACATCATCAGTGCGATATCTTTGAACGCAGGTGGTCTCGCTCCAGGGAGTCGGTTTCCCCGTTTTGTATTGCAGTAATCCAGCCACTGCAATCATCACTCCATTGTCGATGCAAAATCGCTCGTCAGTTGCATATAATTTTGCATTCCGCTCTTTACACATTACGTCCATCATTTCTTGAAGTCTCTCGTTGCAACCAACTCCACCTACTATCAGCACTTCCGATGAACCTACATGAGCCATTGCTCTTTCTTATAAAAAAAAAAAAGAAGAAAAAATTCATGATTAATTTAAAAAATTTATCATCAAAATAAACCATTTATCATTACCTGTTATTTCAATAAGCATGGCAAAAGTTGTTTCTTGCAATGAAAAGCATAAATCTTCTTTTGTATATTTTCCAGTACTGAGCCAATCATCCAATCGCTCTTCAATGTGAGATAAAATTCCCGAAAATGAAACATCCATTCCTTTTACAACATATGGCAAAAGCGCCAATTTTTTTCCTCTAGAAAAAAAAGCTAAAATGCACATTTCAATATTTAACAACTTAACAGTAATATTAAAATAAAATTACTTTTTAGCCATTTGTTCAATGTTGTACCCTGGACTAGGGTCATTAGAAAGCGTCAAAAGTCTGGCGAATCTGTCCAGGCAATTTCCGACAGCAATGTCAATTGTTTCCCCAAAAATTCTGTATCTCTGCCGTGAGTAAGCAATAATCTGAGTATTACCCCCCGAGACATACAAAATAGTTGGGTCCTTGCTTCCGGTGATTAATCTTCCCATTTCAATATGCCCTACACAGTGGTTAACCGCCACCATGGGTTTGTTATACATCTGCGCGATTGTTCGCGCGACAAGTACTAAAACTGTCAGTGGGCCTCCCATTCCAGGTCCTTTGGTGTAACAAATTACATCAACATCCTTCATGGTTAACTTAGCATCACTTAGCGCTTGCTTGAGGACTTCTAGTACGTGAGTACGGTGATGGATTGCGGTTTCTTTTGGTAAAAATCCTTAAAAAATAAAAATAAAAATTAGCAATTAAAAAATGATATTAATGATATTATTTTATTTAACAAAAAAAAATTTTTCCAAAAAGTTATTTTTAAAAAATTGCATTTTTTTTTTTAAATATCAATTTTTTTGCCATAATTTATTTATTAAAAAAATTATCAAATATCTGCTAAATTAATTTTAGTATTAAAAAATAAAAATTAAATTAAATATCAAGATGAATTACCTTCACCGGGTGGTGTAATGTAAGTACGTCTGACATTTGAAAGTACTTCATTGTCACGAATTATTCCAACAGCCAATTTATTGGCGCTTCCTTCAAACCCAATTGCTATCACCATTTTTAAAAAATTACTTTTTTAATTACTATTATAATTATAACTATTGGAATTTTTATAACCTGTCAAATATATTCGATTTGGAGGCAATAACATCAACAATAACATTCCCACATGATTGTAATAACAATAATAATGAACAGTATGGCGAATGACAACAGAATGAGACTTGAGCGCTACTAAGACATATGTCAACAATTTAAAAACACGGGGATAAAAATTTACCGACAGTAGCTAAAGCTTTAAAGGTTCTATTTTGAGGGTTTAAATCAAAAGTAAAAGCTGATTGTCATCTACAGTAACAATATTATCCTTGACGTTGGACGACAAGAGTTGACGTAAAAAATCCTGGTGATCCTTGATTGTCATTGTTTAATTGATCTCGCGGTATACTGGTCAGTATAAATAATACGCGAAGTTTATGTCTATAAACAGCATTGTCTAATGCTACTCAGATTGTTGCTGTATCCGGAGTGATAAGTAATTAAAACGTGAGTGCAGTAACCAACAAAAAAAAATATTAACACTTGGCCCCTTATGTGGCTCGTCGCGATGCTATATATAATCCATATATATATAATATGTACATATCTAAGTATAAATATATATATCTGATAAAATGAAATCAAATATATATTAATATATGTATTTATATTCATATTCATATTTATATTTATATATATATATATATGTATATACATATCATTTTTACATCTCGGGCGTCATTAATTTGCGCGTCACGGGTCTTTGTGTGACATTCACAAAAATATGTAATTTAAGAAAAGTTGAAAAAAAAATTTTGCTGAGCACACACCACTCTGGACAATTCATTTAGTTGCATGCAAGTTTATTTAATGTACAATATTAACAATATGTATCATAAATATGTAAACTGTTTCTGGTGACAATAATTAACGTTAAGCTTCACGCGAACAATGTTGTGTTTACGGTTAATTACTTATAAATTAAAAATTATCATTTCTCTACACTATCCTACATTTTTTATTACTTTTAATTAAATGTTTATGTATATATGGATAATTGAGTTGCTTGACATTCCTTAGTTGCTGATACATGATGTACAAGAGATAAAAGACACTGTAATATTATTGATTGAAAAAAATGTCAATTTCTTCGGAAAGAAAAATACTTTTCTTTAAAATTGACAAATTAATTGATTTAAATTATGTTTTTGCTGTTATCAATGTTATCGTTGGCGTGAAAATGGTGAGATTGTGTCAGTACCTCGGAACCATGATAACATACGGGACTTGACCGCGGTAAGAAAAAGCGAGCAGGTCAAAAAAAATTTTTTTGACTTGTTCTAGCGAAACAAAATAAAATAAAAAGTTGTGCTTTCTTCACAATTTTTTTTTTTTTTTTTTAAATTGACAAGTTTGGTGCCAATGAGATATTTTAGTACGCTCGTGCTATTTCCGGATCAACGGGGTGATGAGAGTCGTTTTGTTCGCGAGCACATTATCCGGATAATGTTTCAGTCGTTAAGTTAATTGTAATTAAAATTACTAATTAATTATGACCGCGTTAACCGCTAAACTCTCGTCGAATCGCCGGTAGCCGGTCAGCCGGTAATAATTCGTATTAAAAGCATGGAATTTCATGGATCGCTGATAGACGGTCTATGTCAGGCGACCAGAGGTGTTGCATACTCGTAACAGTTAATAAATTAAGATAAGGATTTATACATATATAATAATATTGCTTCAGTAAGATAGAATCCAGAATCTTTAGTCGCGTTTAAAAATCAAAAATAAAAATATATAAACTAATGTATCTATGGAGGTAAAAAACCTCTACTCTGGAATGAATGATGATTCTGTTCTATGAATTATAAAGCAACAATATTATCGTTTTGGATGGTCAATCGTGTAATGAGAACTAACGTCTACTTCACTACTCTCGCAGGCGTTTTGAAAAAGGCTGATTATCTACGCTACATCTTCGATTCTTTTTATTCATCTCATCGAAGGTAGTTTTTTTTAATTAATATTCATTAGTACTGAAAAAAAAATTAATTTATTCAAGAGAAAAATTTTTAAACCAAGAAAATTATTTTGAAGAATTTCATAGTCTTTAATCAAGAAAAAAATTTTGAAATCAAGTAAAATTTAATGCAAGAAAATTTATAAACCTAAAATCAGCAGACTAAAGCACCAGCTAAGCCTAAAGCTGCCGCCGAACCCAAAGCCAAGAAAGCCGCTGCTCCAAAAGCCAAAAAAAGCTGCGAAACCTAAGGCACCAAAACCGAAAAAGGCCGCAGCTTCCAAAGCAGCCAAAAGCCCAGCTAAGAAAACTGCTGCAAAGAACTAAATAGACCTTGAATTTCCAAACTGAAATAAAGACTATTGACTATTTTTTAGTTTCGTTTAAAAAATAAACTCGTTCTAAAAAATTATTTTCTTGGTCCAATAATTTTTCTTTTTTTTTTTTTTTAAGTTAATAAAATCTGTAAACTTTTAGGATTTTAAATAAAAAAAAAAAAAAAATTCAAAAAACTATGAATGTAAATTCACAGAAATATTTTTTTACTACTAAATTTCAATATTATGCTTAATTAATAAAAGTTAAATGATAATGAATTAAAAAATTAATTTAATAAAAATAATTACAGAAGATGTCACGAGATTACGACAGTAGGAGACGCGGCAACACCAGTGGATCCAGTAAACTACGAATGGACGCGAGTATGTCTGGGTCACGACAACACATAGAACCATCTTCAAGCAAACGTAAGGAACTGGACAACGTTATGCGGAAAGCCCGTGAATCGCAGTCGACGAGCTATTGGAACAAAAAATTACTCGAAGTGGAAGAACGTGATCCGAATCGTTGGCGCCACAGCGGTTACAAAGAATTATACGTTGGTGGTAGCGCACCGAGTGGCGAGACCAGCAGCAGTCGTAACCACCCTCGAAGTCCTAGGAGTCCTCGACCAAGAAGCCCACACAGTCCTCGAGGTGGAGGTGGAGGAGGAGGAGGAGGAGGAGGTGGAGCACGTAGTCCAAGATCACCGCGAGAACGGACTCACAACAGCAAGCAACGCCCGGCGCGTAGTCCGAGCACCGGTAGCACCTGCTCAGATCGCTCGTGTTCGGTCTGTTCACCGAGGGAACGTCGTCGCGTTGTGCCGCAGTCACGATCACGATCGAGGTCGATAACGCCGGTACGACAGCGAGCACACCCGAAGGAAATTCCCGCGTCGAGTTCGCGGGCCGCTGTCCCGTCACGTGCCACAAGACCGGCGACAAGGCCGCCGCCTCCGATGCCGCGACCGCGTACTCCACCGCCTGAACCCCAGCCGCCTTCTTCCAGACACCACAAAGAGTACAAGGCCCTCAAGGAGAAGGAAGCCAAGGAAGCCAGGGCACGCCGCAAAGAGAAACATCACAATAGTAGGGTGCCTGAAGATCCACGGGTACCTGATCCTATTCCTTTGGTAATCATCACTTGGTTCCATGACCAAGGGGATGTTCAGAATTAAAACTTTATTTTTCAATTGATTTTTTATAAATCATTTTGTTTACAATTTTTTTATATTTAATTATATTTTTATTCTTGATTTATAGATGCGGAGACCTGTTAAAGTTGAGAAAACACATTCAACACATCCAGTGTCTTCAGTTCTTGTCCATCCACCGCCAGCAGAATCTTCTGGTAGTGAAGATAGTGATAGTTCATCAAATGCCTCACAGACTGGTCCTCCACGAATGACTTTGTCAGAACGGTAATTATTAATTATATTGCATAATTTTTTAAAAATAAAAGTTATTCGGACACATGTGTAGCTAGCTTTTTCACACTCTAGTATTGTTTTTCTAACAGACTATCGCTAGCTCACTTTTACTCATTATTATTTTTTAAGTAAAATTTTTTTTTATTAAGACATCAACGAAGCCCTTCTTCAGAATTTTTTTATTTTAATTTTAATAATCTAAAACAAGCTATTTGTATAAATAACTGTTTATCGTTTTTTTATCTTCAGTAGATTCAATGAGATTATTTAAAATAAATGTGTTAAGCTAATATTTATTTATTAATTAATCACATAAAAACTCTTCATCAGTTTTTTTATTTTAATTATTCCATACAAATTTAATATCGATTAAGAATACATTGAATATTTAGCTTTTCATCATTACATTGCCGTAGTGTCCGATCAACCTGAAGAAAATTAGAATACTTAGATGTTGGAATAAGCAGACATTTTATAGTTTTTTTTTTTTTTTTTTTTTTTTTTTTTTTTTTTTTAAATAAATTTATCTTAAAAAAGTATTTTAAAAAAAATTATATTTAGAGTTTTCTAAAATTATTGCAAATAGAACTTTTTTTTATTTTCTTTATGATAATTTATTTAAAAAAAAAAAAAATTGTCAGATGTCTGTTAATTTCAATGCTATAAAATATTTGACAAACATAAATTATCAAATAATTGAAGTACTAATAAAATTTCTTTTGCAACAGATTTGGTAAAATGGCACAATGGAGCGTAGACAGAAGAGAAATGGAGAATATGCGTATCACTAAAGACGGTGAAAACTCAATGAAAGTCGTCATAGAAGGTGAAGAAAGAATTGCCAGATTAGGATATGATTCACCACCACCTGGACATTACCCAGAAACTTTACTCGCACAAGGTCCCCGTGGACTAGACTGTTGGGACGACGTTCGCGTTCGATATGACTACTACAAAGCTCGAGGATACTTGAGAGACCTGACTCTCGATGACTACGTTAAGTGGGAAGAATGGTGGTACAAGTATCAAGAATGGTTGGAGGCTGAGCGTTTCTATGAGCAATGGGCTACAAGCGGCGGACGTAACAATGACGGTCCTGGCCGTGCTGGAGGTCATCGTCACGGCAATCGAGGCGGTCTACGTAGTCACCTAGGTCGCGGAGCCCCTGGTGGACCCTCAGATGGCCTAGGAATCCCGATCTCAGAACGTATTGGCACTTCTGAACGCGGCGGTATAATTATTGGCGGAATGAGGCTGCAGAAACGTCGTGGAAGACGTTTGAATGTCGTCCATTAATTAAATTGCTTTATTTTATTATTAATTTTTGTTTCGTTTTTATTAATTAAAGAATTGATAACTATTTAGCTCGCGATGTCATGTCATTTGTTGACTACAGCTCAAATTTCATCATGAGACCCCTGTTCTTATAAAATGCTTTGAAGAAAAAAAAATTAAATAAAATTATATCATTATATATAATGAAAATACAGATGTAAACATTATATTATAAATATATATAATAAATATAACATGTGCTATAATTATTCTTTATCTAATTTAAAAGTATTATTTTTTAATAATAATAAATTAATAACACTAAAGTTAGCCAACATTTTTAATTTTTTGATTTTTTTTAATTATTAAATTAGAAGTAAAGAATATTTTTTAAAAATTGCACTAAGAGCTTTTTAAGTTTTTAACAAATTCTAAAAATTTTTAAATGTCGGCTAACTTAATTTTCATAATTTTTTATATATTAAAATTAAGTAATAAGAAATTTTAACAGAAATAAATATTTAGCGTTGAAGACGATAGAGTCGCCACCATGCGGCGAAAATGGTCATTACAATCAAAAATAAAATGGTGATGGTTGATAAAATAACTTGGTGAGTTTATATACTCATTCACATATAGTTGATGCCTGGACCCTTTAATGCAAACTGCATGAGAATGAGATAGAGAAGAAAGATGAGGCTACAAAAGTACACAGAAAAAGAGAAAAGAGGAGGTAGCTTTATATTGTTAATGGTTGCGTCGGGTCCATCGTATTGATGCTGCATCTTGACAAATAATCTCAGTACAGATGAAACTTCAGTGATCGCAACTCCAAAAAAATGAATAAATACTTGTAAAAATTCATTATTTATTGTATTGGTGAGTTACTTTAAATATTTTTTAATATTTATCAAGCGATAATTGTGGATTATTTTTTATTAATACGGTGTAAATTATATTTCAGAGACAATGAAAATATACTTACATCGCGTTTAACGGGAGTGGAGATTAACAATTGAACTTGTTTTATTGTTCAATTGATTGTTTGCAGAAAGCGCGATTGTTTAAATTGAATTAAAATAAAATTTAAGTTCCTGACGTTTGGCTGAAATTTTTATTGATTAAGTAATTAACTAAAGTTTATTTTTGAGTTTGTTTATTTGATAATTGGAAAAGTTTTCGTAGCGTTAAAATGTCGGCTGCTGAGACAACTGTGATTTTTGCAAAACTTGAAGCTCTCAAGGATATCAGGTAATTGTTTTTAATTTTCATCATTTTATATGACATTGTTTTTAGTTTAAATCTTTAAAATTGAAATTGAATTTACAAGGAGAAGGGGAAATATGCCCCTCCCTTCTGACATTAATTTTATCTCGAAAATAAGTCACCATCTGTTGAGAAAATCTTTATGATTTTAAATCTGTATAAATTTAAATTTATTTTTTATTTTAAATGACTGAGAATTTATTAATATTCAAATAAATCAGATGGATTTACATTTTAAAAATTTTTTTTTATGTTTGTTCATAAAGTAGACTGGATTATGAAATAGTTTTACAAAAAATAAGGCCGTAAAATAAAATTTTATAATTATAGATCGAAAACAGTACAGCTGGAGAAGATGAAGCAAAGAATTATACAAGAAGTTGAGCAAACAGAGCAAGAAGATAAATGCTTAATGGAGTATAAACAAGAGATGGATTTACTTATGCAAGAAAAAATGGCTCATGTTGAAGAGTTGCGTCAAATACATGCTGACATTAATGCGGTAAATATTTTATAGGTTGACATAAAACTGTCAGTAAATAAAAATGAGAATAAAATTGCATTTATATAATAAAATGTCTCTCTCTGTAGATGGAATCCGTAATAAAACAAGCAGAAGAAGCTCGAAACCGCGCACGAGAACATGCCAAATTAATTCATAACAATGAGTACCAGCCGCTTAAACATGACATTGATCGTATGCGACGAGAATACTTAGGTTTAGAGAGACTGCCGGAATTATATGAGACTGAAACAGATTTAATTGCTCCAGAGTATGTATAATTACTCGTTAGTTATTAGTTGTAATTAGATTCAAGTAAATTATCATTAGATTCATAATAACTCAACTTTCGATATTTATTTGAATTATAAAATTTAAATTTAATTATTAAAAAAAAAAAAATATTTAATAAAATTTTTTTATTAATAGTTATTTTGACAGACCGATGCAAAAAGCTGAATGGCGAGTGGAGGTCCGTGGAGAAGACTTAATGCAACCGTTAGGTTTACATGGTCATCCTGGACATCCTGGTGGTTCGACGCCATTTTTGGCACCTCAGCCACTCCAGGGGCCTAGTAAACCTGAGCCAAGACCGTTGCCTCCAGCCACTGGTCCACCCGCTCCAACATTCAGGTACCACTGGTATAACTCAATTTTTTATATAATTTATTTTCACTCTAATATCCGCAAGCTTGGGCATAATTATTCTCCACTTTTATACTTATATTTATTATTATTTTTCAATTATAAATAATAATGCCTGACAGCGGATAATTACTAAACAATCAATTAATTTGATAATTAAATTATTCCCTCCAGGCAACAACCGCCACCTATGAAGTCTTGCCTGTCTTGTCATCAGCAGATACATCGGAACGCGCCAATTTGTCCATTATGCAAAGCTAAATCACGTTCGCGTAATCCCAAGAAACCAAAGAAGAAGGATTAATTATAAATTCATAATTGAATTTCACTTTTATTTTATTTTATTTTATTTTATTTTATTTAATTTAAGTCCATCTCCATTTTTATTCCGAGTTTATTTCATAAATATCCTCTATAAATATCTTTTAACTAAAAGCAATTGCGCTAAGTACTATAATTTTTTTTATTTTTTTGATACTCTTTCTCGGTATAATTACTTATCAAGTATTACTTTTTTTGATAATATTTTTGACTACTTAATTAATCTCACGATCTCACTAACAGTTGTGAGTAATAATAACCGATAAATTAATTTTAACGTCAATTAAATTAGTTAATTTAAAGTTATGTCTTCTAGTTACTCGAAGACTGATATATCAATGTATATATATCTAATTATATATAGATATGCATTTATACAGAAATAATAATTATTATTATAAAAATAATTAATAAGATAAAAACGTTAGTGAAAATTTATAGAAATCCGTAGTTTTTATATAATTTTTTATGTCTATTAAATCAGACAATTACTGACAACAGTAAATAATAGTAAAAATTTTTTTTTATAATTTATTTTTAATTACATTAAAATCAATAACAAACAAAAGCAATGTAAATGTACATTATACATTACTAATGTTTATTTATTAGCGTGATAAATTACTTTTAAACGTATAACACTCATCTAATTGTTTCATTTTCAATTGAATAATACATAATACATAAGTATTCAATAACTGTAAAACATTTATCATAAATCTGTTTTGTACTAAAATAAATAAAAAAAAAAAAAAAAAAGATAACTCAAAGAATGTAAAACTAGTCTAATAAATCAATTGCTTATTAATAGATCGTTAAATCGCATTCAAGCTCCTTTACTAAGCTCGAGCTTTAACAAAGAATATAAAATTCTTTTATTTTTATGAATAAATTTGTTTATAGTAGTTTACAGTGTATGTATAAATTTTCTCAATACTACAGTAATTTAGGTATCTCACTTGCATATCACGCGATGTACTTGCACGTAACAAACGCCGATAGCGTTGCACCCGGTTTTTAAGGCTCGATATTGAATTACTTATTATACATTATATATTCTATATTTGGTATATTCCGTGTTAGCTTGAGCGAGTGTGGGGTAATAATTAACGTTTTAACTGGTGTAAGGCGAATTAGGTCTGGCAAAGACGTTAAGGGTGAAAACTTGAGGGATAGACCCTTAGTAACTCTATAGTAGTATACCTGTAGCGAGTATGAGTAAAGAGTTATCGAGAGAATAATAATGAAACAAAATAAGTACTCGGGTTTATTTCTTTAGATAAGGTCAAGGACGTTTCTTCTTTTATTGTGTTATACTTTGTATTCTTCTCTTCTCATATATTTTATATTCTGTTAGTATTATTCTATACAATATCACTTTCATGCCTTCAACCGTGCAAGCGCACTGTATACACTGCAGTTAATTTGTTAGATCTAGATTAGGTATAAAATGGCACGAAAGATTGTCGCCTTGCTGCAACTACTCTATATCAAAACACTGATGGTTACGGTTTAGTTATTTTCGCGACAGTTTGTCGTCAGCACTCCTTCTGGGTAGACTTATATGTAGATTTATATTAATATGTTAATTATTGTATTAGAGATATAAGTATATTGCGTTAACTAATACTGGCGGTAATTATAATTACCTCAAACGGAAAAACTGTAAAATAACTAAAAATCATCAATTTCATAAGGTATTATAGTTAGAAGTTAAACATCATCAGAAGAAGAAAATTTATTAATTAGTTAAAATTTATTAATTTTAAATAAAATTTTTTTGTTAATTAAAACAAAGCTCCCGACAATAAGCGAGTAAATGATCAAAAGCTTTTGTTATTGTAAACTAATTTTAATTTATTTTTCAAAGTGAGCGTGTTGAAACTATTCGTGTAAATAACGCATGTGGAAAATCAAAAGTCGCGATAATGAAAATAAGCTAAATGAATCGTGAAGCTGAAATTTAAGAGAGTGTAATTAATATGCTAATAACAAACAAAGTGCATTGATTGTAAAGCGAAAACCTCTACTAGGTGTTGTTGTCGCCAACGGTAGCTAAAGTGACGAAAAATATTATATAAAATGACGTTGATTTATTCGCTTATAAATATGTTCGTTGCGGATATATTAAGTGCGGATAACTTGGTAATGTGTGTAATATAAACAACGCAGCTCGTCAGTCACCCGATTAAATTCTCGCCTCTTATATGGTAATTCACCGGCGATTAAATAAAAACTGAAAAATCGCAAGGTGAGTTTACTTAATTTAATTAAGCTGGTTAATTCTTTTTTATTTTTTCTTCAGTTTTTACGCTGAATAATGTAGTTTAAGAGATATAAAAGTTTTTTCAGCTGATAATTGAGTATCAATAAATTTATCGGATAAGCGGGGAGTTCATTCAAGTGAATAGAATCTTTAGGAAAATACCAATTGAAATCCCATAATAAAATTGAGATGAAATGTATGTGAAACCAATTTATTCGTGATATGATTGGTTGAAAATAAATATTCTCATTCTGATTGGTTGAAAGTGAACATACTATACATAAACGACACATAAATATATCATGACAATAAATATGACGCGCGCGCTTGCGCGCGAAAATTAAATTCTAGTAATAATAAAATTGAGATAAGATGTATGTGAAACCAATTTATTCGTGATATGATTGGTTGAAAATA